CATGTTCTCCACTTTGTCTCCTATTCGAAGATAGTGAAAACCTAAAGCTCATGGCCCACGATTTCAATTTACAATTCTCATTTAAAAATCGCACCTTTTCCTAAGTCGTGATTATCTAAATTAGAACTTTGTGCCTATCTGTCTACCGAGATCTTCGATTGGACTCGATCGGAGTGGCGGAGTGGCGTAGCTTCAACTTTGATATGACCCTTTTTGTATATCATATACGACGGAACAAAATCGCGACCCGGATGTCTTGTCGGGGGATTTTTTTTTTTTTTATCTCCATTCGCCGAGTAATTCGACTTGCAAAACGGCCGCCCGATAACCATTCCTAATAAAAGAATGCATTTCAGGTGCGCTGATATCATCTCTATCATCATCCTCGCTCCATACCGGCAACTTGTTCAAGGATTTTTATGTCGCCGACCAGATGGGTCGTGCTTATCATTGGCTAACACGGTTTTTGCTAGGACAATTAGCTAGATCATCCTACCTTTCAAAAAAAAAGTTTCATTCTTTTGTGTATCTTTATCTTTTCTCTTTTTAGCTTAGAGCCTCATCTTTGCCCTTCCAATGACATGGAAAGAGATCCCCATCCCACAATTTGAGGGCTTATAATAGATGCGGTCTCTGTCAGCATCTTTGGAAGTTCCTGTTCGGGACAAAGCCGCACGTCCACGTCAAGTACAACAGCGCACTGTCTCTCTTTTCTTTCTTTTGTGAACTGCAAAGGAAGTCATTCGCGTTGGCAATTGTTTTTAAAGACTTGGACAAGTGGGCAAGGGCATTGGTACCAGCAATTTGGCTGCACCCCTCGATTGTTAGGGGTTATTGAGACAGTGCAATCTTGGCAGATGGAAACCCTAATTCGATACGTTTGCACTGGTCGAGAGAAGAAACCCTTTTTTTGGGGGGGGGATTCAAAGCCTGCTAAAAAGAGTTGGCGACTGTAAAGTGTACACTCAAAGATACAACACCAGACCCTCCATTGACAAAATGAACCCCGGGTGGTCTTTTTTCCACCGAGCATGGGGCATTTGACAAGGACTTCAACTTTCTCGAATGCCTGGCCTCAGTCCGTTTTCGTGTAACACATTGCATCGAGATCGAGATCCTATAACTTCTTCCTTCGTAAAACTTCCTCCTCCAGGAATTCTCACGCGAACTCGGCGTGTCACGGATCGGAGTTGATCTGGGTCGTTAAGTTTCGAGGCGCTCGGCATCATCTGATGCTGAAATTCACGGCATTCTATGCCGGGTTCGAAGGACAATAAGCTCGTGGAATTTGCGTTTTCTTCTCTCTCTGGTGGTCCGTGTCGATGTCGGGCGTGGCATCGGGGACATTGAGGACGATGGGAGGTTTTGCATTTGCGGTCCTAAAATCCAAGTTCTTGTTCTCTTTTTTCTTAATTAATGATTCGCGCAGAAAGAAAATTTCGAAGGAAGAATCGTGCAAAGTTCGAGGAAGGAAGAGACAAAAACAAGCAAGGAAAGGGGAGGGATTGGTGATGATGAAGGGCTTGACTTTTTGCATGCGAATTTCTTTAATCTCTTCATCCCCCGTCGTCACGCCGACCATTTTTGGCCCCTTTTTGGGACGGATTGATTGATGACTCCCCCACTTTGTTCTTTCAGTTCAGGCTTTTTCAAAGTTCTCTCTCTCTATCTATCTCTATCTCTATCTCTATCTCTATCTCTATCTCTTCATCCTGCATGGTTGGTTTTGTCCTTTATCTTTTTCCAAAATCTGGGGTCCAAGGATGTTTTTGCATCTTTGGTCTCGTCCGGCCCCCTGTGTCTAGTCTAATTACGTGGCCTCTTTAGAATGCGCGCGACCAAAATTGCATGCGACCGGTGCATACGAGCCGACAGGGTTTCGGATCTGATTACCCTCGCGTGTGATTACGACGTCCCCGAGAGCTCGTGCGATAGCCCCCCCGACAATCCCACGTTCGAATCGAAGAGACTTTATGTAGCGGTTTACATGTGAAAACTCGGTCTCGAACAATCATCGTCTTTTTAGTATTTTCGGAAACTCGGCTCGTGTGATAAGAACGGCGTCTTTTTAAGTAGTACCCTGCGATCGCGTGACGTGACGGACCGATCATCTCGGCTATTTTTCGCACTCGAATTTCTAATAAAAAAGGGAGCCGGACTCGAAACATCAAAGTGGAGACAACGTGTCCCCTTGTCTCGCGGAGCAGACGTGCATCGCTCTTTGCCCTTTTCTCACGAGTCATCGCATCGCATCCCCCTTTCGCATTATAGGCACTTCCTCCCCTTGAAAAGCCAAAAAAAGAGAAGAAGGCACTTCCTCCCCTTTCGCATTATAGATTCGATTCTGCACGCGAGAATTCAACGGGGGGGGGAACGATACGTTAGGCCGTGACGAGCAATCGATTCCGTTCCCATCGTCGTTCTCGTCAAGGGAGGACATCAGGGTTTTTGAGGAACGGGGATGCCCGGGGTGATCTTCACGGGATATCAGGGAATGACCTGTCCCGCAACTTTGGACGATCTCTCCTCGAGAAGGGAGTTTTGACCGGGAGGAGGCGGGGCGAGCTGGCATGAGCCTCTGGGGATTTAGATTCCAAGTCAGCACATTTTTGTTCTTACTTGGGACATGCCCTGTTTCTTTCCTTGCCATTGGATCCTCTGTTCTTCCTTCTCCTTCTCCTCCTCCTCCCCCTCCTCCCCTGCCTCGGAGATTGTAGACTGGACCTCCATTGTCAACCAAATGAATGAGAAATTGTCACGCCTATACTATCCCTTTCTCTCTCTCTCTCTCTCTCTCTCTAATTTTATTTCACGCATCAGGATGTTGACGTTTTGTAAGCTCTCGAAGTCAAATTAATGGACGGACCTAAATGAATTCGACATAGTCGGAGAAGTGGTCGTAGCCCTTCTTATGTGCTCGTCTCGAAAGTGAACCCGTCGAGTGGGCGGGTCGGGTCGAGTTTGAGTCAAGTCGGAAGTGGCCGACTCAAATTGATCAATTTAACCCTTAATTTACATTGTGCCTAAATCCGGTACATATGTGACAATTTTACCATGAATTAAAATTTTAATATTAATTTTTATTTATTTTTTCGACATTTTTATTTATTTTTTTTTTCATCTTCAACCTTGTCAGCTGTTTGCCGCCGGGCCCCGGGCGATCGGCCGAGGTGGAAGCTCGAAGTAGCGGCCGCCTCAAGCTCGCGCCGGCGGAGGGGCCGTCCGCCCTCGGAGCTGTCAGGAGGCGGCTCAGATCCGGCGAGGGCTGGGCGACCCTCCCTACACGGCGAGGGCGGCTCCTCGCTGCCGTCGGCGAGCTACGGCTGGCGCAGGGGCGCTCGCCGATATGTGACAATTTTAGGCCGCTCACATGAGGCGACCTCGCCCGCGCCGAGCAATTTAGCCGACGGCGAGGGCGGCCCATTAATTTTACTGGGCGACCTACTAGGCTGAAGGCAAAGAAAAAAAAAAAAGAAAAGAAAAGAAAGAAAAATTTTATTTAAAAATTTTTTTAAATTTTCACACGCAGTTTGGCCGGTTGCGAATGTCGTGGTAAAATTATTACAGAGATACCTAGCCGTGGTTTTTTATGGGCCGCCAAGGCCGAATTGACCCAACTCATATTGCTAAAACATTTCTATATTTAACCCAATTGAAGAAAAGTTACGAAGTGAGTGTGAGGGAGAGAGAGAGAGAGCAAATAAAGGCTTATAGAGGTGGGTTGGGTCTAAATAAATTATGAACCCATTTAACACTCATATTAAATCAATTTATGAGCTATAGAATTAGGTCTTAACTCATTTATAACCCATTTACCGAATATAACTAATCAATATAACAACTCGGCCTATTAAATATAGGTTAAGAAATGGATTTATGACCCCTTTTGACAACTCTAATTGAAAGGCCGAGCTAATAACTTCCACCTCGATCGGAGGAATTAGGAATACACGCTCGAACAACACGAGCGGAAAACGCACGGCTAGCTAAGCGCATCGACTATCGAGAAACCTTCGCCCGACTTTGCAGCCTCTCCGGCTCTCCTTTTTCAAATAATACGGCCTTCTCATCCGTGGCTTGAAGGAGGCCGGGTCAAGTGCATTCAACTATTGAGAATCACGCTTTGGATCATAGTCAAATCGATCCTTAATGCATTCTTCCATCTCGTCAAAGTCATACTTAAGAGGTTGGACGATGCTCGTCCCCCCCCTGCACTAAAGGCTACTTCGACCAAGTTAGAGGAAGACCCGGAAGACTTCCTTTCGAGTCAAGCAGTGCGCGACGTCTCGCGCCGTGCGTCGACTCGCTTGACTAGACGCAATTTCGACTTCCCTTGCACGGTATGCCGAGTTGCCCCAAAACTTTCCATCGCATTTCTATGATTGTTCCTATCTTTGCTTATAATATCATTGATGATTGAGACCCCAAAACTTTTCTGATGGTTTCTCGAGGAGAAGGAAGGGACTGACGCGATTGAAGAAAGGCGAATAGCTTGATTTATGCGGAGCCTAAGCGGATACCGTGAGACCCCGAGGCATGACCGGGCGAGTTTGACTTAGAGTTTGACTTAGCAGGGACCTCGTATTCGGGTTGTCCATCTGGGTTTTGACTCGTTTGTTTTTAATTGGTCCGTATATGAGAATTTCACGAGCCCGCGGTTTATCTAATCTAGGATGGGAATACTAAGGTAATTAGCAAGTAGGCACAAATTCGTTCGCTTTGCCACTCTAGGAATGAGTGAAATGGACCAAAGACCAAATCGAAAGACTATATTAACACAGATCATTTGAATTGTTCTAGCGCTCTTCGAATGGGCTTCTATGGATTAATGGGCCGCACAAGTAATCGCGCGAGCCCATGGGTTTCTGCCCTCCTGAGCCCAAGGCCCATTTGGGCCAGAACGGGCGGAACGACAGGTCGTTCCCGTTCAGCTCGGTCCGCTTTCGGAACCTCGAAACGACGCGTCGGAGGCCCCTCCGAGCAAACAATAGAATTGCGGAGAAAGAAACGACGCGAGGAGGAAGGATTTCGTTCCACCGCGAGCTGGCTGAAGCCCGTCGCGGAGCCACCGATCTTCTCCGAGAATCTCTCGCTCGCCAACGCGGCGGAGAGAGGTCGCCGCCGCCGCCGCCGCCGTCTCCAATGCGGAAATCTTCAAGCGCCGCATCGTGAGCTCGCGTAGGTTTTCGAGTTTCGATTGGCTTTTCGGATTGGGAGGAGGAGGTGGGGGCGCGATGTATCAGTGGAGGAAGTTCGAGTTCTTCGAGGAGAAGCTGGGGGGGAGATGCGCGATCCCGGAGGAGGTGCGCGGCGGGATCGCCTGCAGCTCCAGCGGCCGGGGGAAGCTCGTGATCGGCTGCGACGACGGCGGGGTGAGCCTGCTCGATCGCGGCCTCAAGTTCAATTACGGTTTCCAGGCCCACTCCTCCTCCGTTCTCTTCCTGCAGCAGCTCAAGGTCCGGCCTCTCTCTCGCCATTCTCGATCGAATTCGTTAGCGAAGAGTGTGTATCGCGCGTAGAGTTATCTGCGGATGGAGCTTGATTTCGTGTCTCCTTTGAGGTTGTGTCCGGTAATTCAGACGAGTCGTTTACATGCATCAATGTGGCGCATTGGCTATTCATTTCTTTCTTGCCCGAGCTGTATCCCTGCGGTGCGTCTTTTTGTGTTCTTCGATGAAATGCTCCTTATGCGCCGCGGTGTCGTTTGCAAGGACGGGTTTGATTGCTTTCGTCTTAAGTTGTCCGCTTAGTGAGCACATTTACGTTTTAGATAAAGTTTTCTGGTGTTCGTCCCTATAATGTCTGTACCTGAGCCCAAAATTTCATTTCTGGTCCTTGAAATTACATATAGACATGAGGTTATGAGCATGTGCAGGTCGGGTTTTTATTTCTTGTCTCCTGAGATCAGCAGTTAGTTGCTGTACATTAGCTTTGGGACGACGGAGATTGTAGAAAACGGGGGGGATTGTAAGAGATTACGAGGATTTGTTGCGGAAATTTTATCTTGAGGGAGAAGGTGATGTGTATATTTGTATGTTTATCCACAGCAACGCAACTTTCTGGTGACTGTCGGTGAAGACGAGCAATTATCTCCGCAGCAATCAGCTTTGTGCCTCAAGGTATTTGACCTTGATAGGATGCAGGAGGAGGGCTCCAGCACAGCCAGTCCTGATTGTATTGGAATTCTTCGAATATTCACCAATCAGTTTCCTGAGGCAAAGGTAATTCGTTCTATTTCTTATCGCTGCAATTGACACCTAATTGGAGAGAAGTTTTATGGTATTGAGAAGCTTTGGATGTGATTCAGATTACATCATTCTTGGTCTTTGAGGAAGCTCCTCCAATATTGCTCATAGCCATCGGCTTGGATAATGGTTGCATATACTGCATTAAAGGGGATATCGCAAGGGAGAGGATCACACGTTTCAAACTTCAGGTGGACAATGCTTTAGATAGAAGCCAGTCTTCCATAACCGGAATGGGGTTCAGAGTTGATGGTCCTGTCCTTCAACTATTCGCGGTGACTCCAGCATCAGTGAGCTTGTTCAACTTGCACAGTCAGCCTCCAGCCAGGCAAACACTGGATCATATTGGCTGTAATGTCAACAGCATTACAATGAGTGATCGCTCGGTATATCTTGTTTGTGCTTTATGTTCTTTTTAATTGTTTAGCAGTAATTTCTTTGCCATGTGCTGAGTATTTCACCTTTTAGGAGCTGATAATTGGTCGACCTGAGGCTGTTTACTTCTACGAAATTGATGGACGTGGCCCTTGTTGGGCTTTCGAAGGAGAGAAGAAGTTCGTGGGCTGGTTTCGTGGCTATCTTTTGTGTGTTATAGCTGATCAAAGGAGCGGCAGAAATACTTTTAACATCTATGACCTGAAGAATCGTTTGATAGCCCACAGCCTAGTGCTTAAAGAGGTCTCTCAGATGCTTTGTGAATGGGGTAATATAGTTCTCATACTAAACGATAAATCTGCACTTTGTATCGGAGAGAAGGATATGGAAAGCAAATTAGATATGCTTTTCAAGAAAAACCTATATACTGTAGCCATTAACCTTGTGCAGAGTCAACAAGCTGATGCCGCTGCAACTGCAGAAGTGTTAAGGAAATATGGGGATCATCTGTATTCTAAGCAGGATTATGATGAGGCTATGGCGCAGTATATTAACACGATTGGTCACCTTGAACCTTCATACGTGATACAGAAGTTTCTAGATGCTCAAAGAATCTACAACCTAACAAATTACTTGGAAAAGTTGCATGAGAAGGGGCTTGCATCTAAAGATCACACGACACTTCTGTTGAACTGTTACACCAAATTAAAAGATGTTGAAAAGTTAAATGTGTTCATTAAAAGTGAAGATGGTGTTGGGGAGCACAAATTTGATGTGGAAACTGCTATAAGGGTTTGTCGAGCTGCCAATTACCATGAGCATGCAATGTATGTTGCTAAGAAGGCAGGGAGGCATGAATGGTATCTTAAGATTTTGCTTGAAGACCTCGGTAGGTATGATGAGGCCTTGCAATACATTTCGAGTCTTGAGCCCAGTCAAGCTGGTGTAACAGTAAAAGAGTATGGTAAAATTCTCATAAAGCACAAACCAGCGGAAACCATTGAGATACTCATGAGGCTTTGCACTGAGGATGGAGAATCTACAAGAAGAGGAGCCTCTAATGGTATCTATCTATCTATGCTACCTTCTCCTGTTGATTTTCTCAACATATTTATCCACCATCCCCAGGCCCTCATGGAATTCCTTGAGAAGTACACAGACAAGGTTAAAGATTCACCTGCACAAGTTGAAATACACAATACCCTTCTAGAGTTATACCTGTCCAATGACTTGAATTTCCCATCAATATCACAAACTGACAAGGATGGGGAGTTTGATACTAGAGCAAGACCAGCAGCAGCTGGAATTTCAAAAGTCGTGACTAATGGGAAATTGGTGTCCAATGAAAAAGATATTAGCAAGTATTGTTTAGAAAGACGTGAAAAGGGGCTTCGCTTGCTTAAGGTTGCATGGCCAGCTGACATGGAACATCCACTTTATGATGTTGACCTTGCTATAATTCTATGCGAAATGAATGGATTCACACAAGGGCTTCTCTACATCTATGAGAAGATGAAACTTTATAAGGAGGTAATTGCTTGCTATATGCAGGCCCATGACCATGAGGGTTTGATAGCATGCTGTAAAAGGCTAGGGGATTCAGGTAAGGGCGGGGATCCGACTCTTTGGGCAGACCTCCTGAAATATTTTGGTGAACTCGGTGAAGATTGCTCGAAAGAAGTAAAGGAAGTCCTGACTTACATAGAGAGGGATGACATGTTACCTCCTATAATCGTTCTTCAGATGCTTTCTAAAAATCCTTGCCTCACTCTCTCTGTTATCAAGGACTATATTGCCAGAAAGCTCGAGCAGGAATCTAAACTCATCGAAGAAGATCGACGGGCTGTTGAGAAATATCAGGTTACGTCCCTTATTGCAATATCCTCCTTTCACGTGTTTAATATTTTGTTTCTCGACTAATATTTGCTTTATCTTTTTAACAAGTGAAGATTTGATTTATCTCTGCACCCTCCTCCAGTTAGGTTATGTAGTTCCTTAACATATTGCTAGAGAGGGATTGAAGTACTTATTTTACTTTTTTATTTAAGCTGATGGTTACCATTACATGATTTTCATAGATGTCAACAAAGTTGACCTAATTACACACCGCATCTTAATTTGGATATATTAAAAGAAAGCATTATCAGTGTTTTAAGTCGTGGGAAATTTTGCAGTTACAGTTTTTTCAATGTGATTGCAGTCGGCAATTACATTTGACTAATTTTTGGAAAATTGAAACTTGTCTAAATGCTTTCCATAGACAAAATGTAAGTTTGCTCATTCTTGCCCTAATTGCTGAAATGGAAGTTTGATGTGAGTTAATGGTGGTCTTATCAACTGTTTAAGATGAACTGTTGATTAGAGGGAACGGAAAGACATAGGGAATGGTGGCTATAAGGCTGGAGAAAATTTGATATTGTCAAACTTTAGAATTTCTGTATTTATTAATTAATGATAGAAGGACGAAGCAGCTAGCGGTGGCAACCATGATGTGCTCTGTAACTTTGCATCTTTGACAAATTTATAGTACATTCAATCATGCAGTTGGTAATCATTTTGCTATTGATGGAGATGTTAAAGAATGGGTTGGTATATCAATAAAGGGACAACTTTTACACGGAAACACATTGGATTAGCATCCTTAGCCTTCTTATTCACTTTTTATGGGCGACATGCATATTCTTTCCTGAAATGCAATTCCATAATTCCTTCACCCCCCAAAACTGCACAAGTGGGCTTGGCAATTCTTTTGATTTTTGGTCACATACATGTTTTATGCTTTTGAAGCTCGATAGATTTGGTTAACTTTTAAATCAAAATATGCTAGAACCATCTGGACCGATATTCATTTTTTGTGATAAATGCCTCTGCAGGAAGATACACAGACTATGAGAAAAGAAATTGAGGATCTTAGAACAAATGCTAGAATTTTTCAGCTTAGCAAGTGCACAGCATGCACATTTACGCTGGATCTCCCCGCTGTCCACTTTATGTGTATGCATTCGTTCCATCAGCGTTGTCTTGGTGATAATGAAAAGGAATGCCCCGAGTGTGCACCTGAGTACCGATCTGTGCTGGAAATGAAGAGAAGTTTGGAGCAAAATGCCAAGGACCAAGATCGATTTTTCCAGCAGGTGAAGACATCAAAGGATGGGTTTTCCGTGATTGCTGAGTACTTTGGAAAGGGGATTGTGAGCAAAGCAAGCAACAAACAGACAGGTACTATTAGGTAGAGCGACACCTTCTACAGCAGTGGGCTGATGATTGACTTGTTAGGCCTTCTTATTTTGCTCAATGCAATGCTAATCAAAGAAGCTGATATTTGTTCAGAAAGGTGTTCATGTGGGTCAAGTTGAGGGTGGCGTAATTCCCACATTTGTTTTTGATTTGTGAGTGCTGAGTGTTCACCTTTCTGATTGAGTCGCGCCAGCTGTAAGTTGATGGGAACTTTATGTTGCCCTGGCTGTACATAAAGGAGGAGAATGGCAGTGCTACAGTCTCCGGGTTTGTTGCCAATTTCATCAAGATTTACTGGAGCTGGGGGCATTTGGCTCTTAGTTACACATCTCAGTTTTGCAGATTTGATGTTTCCTGCATTTTCCCTCTCATTTGAGCCTTGTGATTGTGAGTTGTGATCTGTCTGCCCTAGCATGCAAAAGGGGATATTACACCACCTTTGTTATTGTTTTTGTTTTTCTTTTTGTTTACTTTTCTTGTAAGGTTTTATATGAATAATACAGTAATGTGGTTACCTACTTATGCTACTGCGCAGATTCCAAGTGCTGTATGCTGCTCGAATTTCCCTTCTTCTATTCTTTCCTATACACCTGCACAAACTACGCAAATTACCATTAACTTGAAAGTTTTTGATGTTGGTTCTGCTTTCTTCTTGTCGTATTTGAAGCTGATCGATTAAGGCAGATGGACTTGGATATGCACCACCTTTTCCAAGGGAAGGAGGTCTCTGGTCCCATGAAGGGCGATCCAGAGGCCTGCTAAAGATGGTGGACAAAATAATTTCATATGGTCCATCACGTGATTTATTGTCCTAAACATCTAGTCAGTTTTGTTGTTTGAGTTAGAGCTTGATTACTCTGTCATACCTAACATCCTTGGATGGGAGCTGTGCTGAGATGGATGGAATTTGCCTCTTTATCAGCTGGTTGTGGTTGTTTCTTTCTTGTTGGGTGTTGTTACCAGGAGACAATGCTTTCATGGGGCCCTAAATTATCACCTCAGAAGTGCCGGTGCACGCTAATCTCGTACCGTCTTATTCCGTTGCTTCTATTTGAGAGCAGGGAAACCGTCGAGAAGGGGGTTGTTGTCGCTGGTCAGTTTGGCGCGGAATCAACAATTGACGGGGGAATGTATTGGGAGGACGACATGGTATAAAGGCCGAATGCATGGATCTTATCAGGACAAAAAGGTGGGAAGTGGCCCTCCAAGAGGACCACACCGGTGTCTCCGTTGTTCTCACTGGTATGTATGTTATGTAGGCTCTATCTTGCCTTTCTTTCTGGATCTGGATAGAGAGGTCCCCGTGCTTGTGCAACTTAAAAAGGTTGGAATAAGGACATGGGGTGGTGTTTGCTAGGTCCTTGTCAAAGAAAATGTTTGAACTCGGTTGCTCTCCTCCTCCTCCCCCTCCTCCTTTTACCTTTTGGAAAGAAAAGATTCACGGATAAGGGGGGGCTTGTATCGTGTAACCATTGTCCATGTCTACGTGTGGTGGTGTTGATGGTCCCGAGAGCCGAGAAAAGGAAGGAAATAAAATTTAGGAGTATTGTAGCAGAGGTCCCAAAACTTGTTATTAAAGTGTAATCAAGTCTTAAGATTTTCAAAAATTGCAATCAAGTCGTTATGTTAGTTCTGTCCAAAAAAATGTTTATAAATTATTTTTGATAATAAAAATATTTTCCATTGACTAATTATTTCAAGCGATATGAGTTATCATTTTTAGGAAAATATTTTTTAAATCATTCCTTTTCTACAAAAACGAATAGAGAATATTTGTCTTTTTTAGTTTTTTATTCTTTTTTTACCTTTTTGTTTTTAAATTTTCAAGTTTTTTTTTTCTGATGTGATGTCGAGTGTGTGCCACATCGACGCCGCATGTATTAAAAATTAATTAAAAAAAAGTCACGTCAGCCTTTTCCGTTAACCAAATTGAATAAAGCTAGCAGAGAAATTTAATTGCATCAATTTAACAAGTTTTAGGACTTGTTACACTTTTTGAAAATTTTTGGAACTCGATTGCATTTTCGTAACAAGTTTCAGAATTTCTCAGGCACTTGTCCTAAAAATTTAATTCCTATCTAAATGTAAACCGGCTAAGTTTCAGGTTGCTTTTAAGCCCATCGATCGAATCTAATCTTGCTCTCGATTTCGACTTTCGTATTCATACAATGTTACCCAAGCCTGTCTACCGCATAAAAACTCCATAAATACATGGAAACATTGAACCTTCCCGGGCTTAAACAAACCTACCTAGGTTGGCTTTGAAGGGAGGCGGTACTCAACTATATATCCTTTTTTTCTAATGATTAACTAGACATAAAATCGAGAGAATTAGTGAGACAAAACTCACAGTTAAGGGACCTAAAAAGTCCAGCATGCAAGTTCCGAAAGATTATTCGAATCTTTAGAAACAGCGGAACCAGGTTCTATACGGGGTGGCACTTGAGTTAGTAAGGGCATGGGCGGGGTCTAGTTAGTTAGGCCGCCTTCCTCAAAAGAATTGACTCTTCTTATACCCATTCTAAAGTGTCGTTCGGTTCGGCCGGGTTGAGCGAAACGGCCCCCAAAAAAAAGTGTTTATAAAAGGCCTTCTATCGTTGATTATGCAAAATGTACATTCAAATGAATGCAAAGGTGTTTGATGGTACGAAAAAGATTGGCGAGTGTTTCAACGCACTACCAAGGAAGTATTGACCAAGGAAGAGCAGGCCCCCCCCTCCTCCCGCCCCCCATCTTGTCACTTTCGTTGGCACGGTGCCCTTTTTTTCATGTAGGGACATTCTTTTTCGACTTGTAAATTGACTAAAAACGAAGAAAACACATTTTTACTTGGTCCTAATACCTTAAAACATCTCCAATTTTAGGTGTAGCCCTAATTTTATTCAAAACGTTTTCAGTCTCGTAAAAAACCTCCAACTATAGGTCATGTCTCAATTTTAGCCTAAATTTTATTTTGTCCCATAAAAACCCTCAACATTAGGTTTAATCCCAATCTACTACTTTAAACTTTTTGTTGTCTCGTAAAAAACTACTAACTTTTAGTAGTTAGTCATTCTTTCAAAAAATTTCTTGACAACAGAGTAATAAAAAACACTTCCGACCGCGAGCAATTCAAGCTTCCTAAACGCTAGCTCTTCGACCGTGAGAGATGGGAGACTCCTGAGCATGATAGATTGAGTACTAAGCACAAAATTGAAGATCTCCGACCAAGATGGAAGGAAAACTCTCATAAAAGTAAAAGCAATTGAACAAGGCCAACCCCAAATTGCTCTAATTTTTACCCAAATTACATATCCAAAAAGACTCATTTGGGCTAATGTAGAAATTCATCTCCAAAAGTTGTCTTCTTTGATCTAGAATTTGGGGAAAAACTAGAGTAATGACGTGGAAATGCCACATCACTGAGGGTGATTTTGGACGAACTGTTAAAGGAGGCAAATATGAGACTCGAGTAAAGTTGGTGATTTTTTATGAGACAGAGAAATAATTTATGGTAAAATTGGGATTTAACCCAAGGTTTAGTGGCTTTTTATGAGATAAAAGAGTTTAGGGTATAATTGAGACTAAATCAGAAATTGAGGAATTTTTTTGAGACGAAAAAAAGTTTATAATAGAATTGGAATTGTACCTAAGTTGAGGATTTTTTAGGATATTAAACATTTTTACTTGAGCTCACATCATTACAACCGCACATGCTTTCGTAATCTGGTATGTTGAGTGATCTCTATGCAGAAGAACAATCGAACTGATGTTCATTAACAGCTCAAAAATGCTTTGATCATTATCAGATTATAGAAAGTACTTTGACAGAAGGAAAGCAGCTTTATCCAGGAAAAATAAAAAAGAAGCAGAGGAGAAGAACGAGTATCCTGAGTTTGCATGGCTCAGATTGAGCCTGCACTAAAAAACACAAACAGGAATTGGACCCATCCGCTCCATGAAAGAGTCCAGTCAAGTGAAGCCAAGAAGCCGCGGTAAGGTACTTCCCAGACTCCAACTCCCCTTCTGCACCCTCTTTTTTTTCGCTTCCCTTCTTCTTTCACTTCCCAGCCCCCCTCTCTCTCTGTCTCTCTCTTACTGGGTTTCCAATCTCAGATGTAGAAAAACACCGGATCAGCACGTTTTCTCGCGGTAAAAGACCACCCCTCTTCTCTCTTTCTTTCCACATGTCGGGTCGTTAGGCAATTAATTGCGAGAAAAGTGAATATCTGGATTGTTTTGGTGATGGCAAGAAAAGGGATGCTTCTTGATTTCGTGTTTGGTTTAGAATCCTCTTAAAGCTCCGATTTTTTCCTTGTCGGGTTTGCTTGTTTGACTCTGAAGCTGAGCCGATTTTAAGGGCTGTCCTTTCTGGGTAATAAACGTGGTAAATTTTAGTGGGTTTTGTTTTGTTGTTCCAACTATTTTGGTGGGATTGGATGGAATTTGACATCGCTTTGCTCTGATTGTTAATTGAAAAGGGTAGTCCCTTTTCTGGAGAAGCGAATTGAGATATGAACAAAGGGCGGCCACCGGAGCCTCTTGATTTCTTCATTTGGACTGTTGAGGTATTCCAATTTCTTCCTACTTGGATCTTCTCTTCTGATTTTTTAGTCTGCTTCTTCGTTTTAGTGTGATCCTGGGGGTGCTCTCGCGCGCTTGTGTGTGTGTGTGTGTGTGTGTGTGTGAGAGAGAGAGAGAGAGATTCTTACAGTGCGCTGTCAACTAAATTACTCAGAAATGAGATATTTATTACAAATATCACATGTGAACTCTGTAGACAAATTCATTAGCTTGAAGAGAGACATTGAGTTGGATACAATTTCAAAGTTGTTCAGCCGATCACAATGTAACTGTGCGAGTGCGCAGATATTTTAGTTGCCTTGGTCAGAACGTGAAGACAGTGCGTGAAGATTCTTGGAGGAGCAGTAATTGCAACTTTTTGATGACCTATGAGTTTTCGACCAAAAAAAGATGACCTATGAGTCAGATCATCTCTGAATACTTTTCTTCCGACCCTTCTGGTCACTTGTCGTTTCCTTTTTATGGCAAAAGAGATTATTGACCCGGAAGCAGAGTGATGTACTAGTTCATCTGCAATAAGAGTAAAGCCAATCTGTTCTTTTGCATATCTGATAGACTTTTGGTCATTTGTCAATTGCTTGTGCATATCTCATGCTTATTGACCTTTCAAGCTACAGAGGCTGTTACACGGTGGATTGTTCACTTCTGTCAAAACTCCTTTCTTAAGGGTCTTCAATCAGACATGTAATGTTTAAATTGCTCTCCCTAGTTATAATTATGTAATAGTTGGACGGTGCCAACTCCAACCTACATGAAGTGTTGGAGAAAGGGCAAGTGCTTTAACTAAATTTTGCTCTGCCATTTGGTTGACATAGATAGTTTCGTCCTTCGTCAAATTCTCAGATCTCTTGCATGAGCTCTAGGGGTCATTATGGAGTAGCATACTGGTCACTCGAAATTCATTGGCCACGCATGTTCAACAGAAAATCTTTAGACCGGCCATCCAGTTCATTGAAGCGGTTGAGTTTGGAAAACATTCAAAGGAAACAGGAGCGCTCGTGACATTTGGATACAGATGAAGTATCTGTGATTTGATTTAGGTGATAGTCCCATAACACCAGTCATTGGAGAGTAATGATATTAATTATGAGGCAACAAACAGGAGGTATGGGGATGGTGGGTTTTTCAAATGAGGTGGCATATATATGGAGTGTTTATGTCGAGAATATGCATTTATGGCGAGAATATGTAGTCATTGTTGACATATGCTTGAACACGTAAAGTGGTGCATTTATGTGAGCATGTATGCATATGATGTTTTGCATCTCTACATGTGAAACTTAATGAAGCTAAGTAGCTGGCTCTTTCCAGCCATGCGGTATGAATATACAGACACTGGATGGTAGGAACTGGAACCATATTTTCTTGTTCTAATGGGGTGTTATGGACAATTATAAGAAGCAAATCTTGTACTGCTGTTAGAAGTTAATTGACAGTCAGCTTTGTAGCTGAATATGATGAGAAGATTTGATCCCAGCATCTTAGCTGGTGACTGATCATGCATTCTTCCCTGCAGGAAGCATTCCTTTTTTTCTTGAAGTTTCTGCTTGAATATGCTTTGTTAATTGAGTGGTTTTGTTCATGGAAATTGGAACACCAGTCTTTTAGAAGCTTTCCTTTGCATCCCCAGTGAGGTCATCACTAGTTCTAAGCCATTCTAATTGTTTTGCCAGGATGTTGGTTTGTGGTTGGAAGAGATAAATTTGGGTGGCTACCGTCAAGTTTTTAAGGAAAATGGTGTCAACGGAGAATATCTTGAGAGCATGTCTATGTTCACGACTGAACAGATCCTCCGCTTTATTAGGCGGTGCCACATGAAATGGGGCGACTTCATCACATTATGTAAAGAACTTCGTCGGATTAAGGGTTCTCTCTCTCTCTCTCTCTCTCTCTCTCTCTCTCTCTCTCTCATGCACACATGTACACACAGTCCACAGACATGATGCATACACTCTCACACAATTGTTTTTATTGGAAAGGGTTAACTAAGGTGAATTGGGAACAAGTTACTATCAATCTGCTCAGGAGATGATACTTCTTTAGTTTTTCTCTGCCAACTTACTCTATCGTGTTTATGATTTCATCGTCAGTACTCTCACAATGGCATTCTTTGGCATGTACATGTTTTTGAGATGCACTTCAGTTAGTCTGCGCAGGAGATGATATTTGCTTGTTGTATAGCACTTAATAATTGTTAATCCTCGATGCTGCCTCATTTGCAACAATTTCTGTCACTTGTGCCCTGATCTTTTGACTTATGGTCGAGGCATTGCTACTGACGGTCTCTTTGCTCCATGGAAGTTTTTGTGCGTTTAATTTTTTCACTTCTTCTCTATCTCGATTTTAAACTCGAGTTGGTGGTGCCGACTGCTGACAAGTGAAACCATTTTCCAGTGGCATGTCTAAAAGGGGAGCAGAAGGTGCGCCGGCCATGGTGGGCTCCTTCTTGCCTTTCAGTTTTCTTTGTCAGGGTGGCGAAACGGAATCGGCAGTCTCGGGTTGTTTCACTTAAGCTGGAACCGTGATGCAGGATCATATGGCTACTATATACGTACCTTTTTTCTTTTCCCTTTTTCAGGTAAAGATCAAACAAGTAGGGATCAAGCTGTCAAGTTTTTTTCCATAAGTTCTTCCTCCAAGAACTGTCCCCTAGGTAGAACCTGCTTTATCCCTTTCCTTGCTGTCGTTCCTGTAATTGTCTCACTCTAGTCTGTGATAAAAAAGGATGTAATGTCACATAAACATACAGCCTCGCTTTTGAGTGAGTTGTGGATAAATTTGCCCTCAAAATGGCTCTCTGCTGGTGCTAGTAGGGGATGATCTTGTCTTTTTTTTATTTTTTTTTATTTTTTATGTTTGGTGATGCTTTCTGTGGTTATGTTTCGACCTTGTCTCTACAAGGAAAGAGTCGGACTCGTTTTGAATTCGCGAAAGACGGGGGCAGCAAAGGCGTGCATGGGGTCGATGCCGATCTTTAAACTTGGCTATATAGGCATTATCCAAATGATAGACTTGACCATTCTTACTGGACAGCTTATTGACTAAAGGGATTTGGAGAGGCTGCATTGTTTGTCTTGCTTGTTTGTCACGGCTGAACTTGTGATGTACTGACTATGCTAACAATGGTACTGGTTTACTTTTGACCTCCGTTCGAACTTGAAGATCACTCTCGAGCAAACTACATGATGACGAGTGCCGAGTCTCGAGCGCTATGATTGATTTCTTGTGCCGACGGGGTCGTTTGTTTTCCGACGGTCGCCGCCCCGGACGAGTCATTTCCGCATGCGGGCAGGCATACTCGTTGCGCATGAGAAGGGCGGGGAAAAAAAGCGATATATGGTGCGCTTAAAATTTCCAAAGTTCCCTTCTCGGACATTCATCTCGCTCGACTGCATGAAACTCGGTTCGGAGCCATCCATCGCCCTGCCATTCATCATCACGCTCGCTGCAAGGCTGGGCTTTCGATGATATGGATCCTAAGGTAATCCCAAAGTCGGGATGCCTCGTATGATGCTCACTCAATTTTTCTTTGTACCTTCGCCGTCTCTCCATTCGATGGCTCGTTAAATATATCTCACGATAGCATCGTTGCTCGATCGATCTAAGTCTCTTAAAACCACGGCTTTATCTCTTCTTATGTATCGGTTGCATGCCAATTAGAGCTTTAATACAGTAATTATGTATCGAGTCAAACAAGAAAAAAATCGATTTTTGAATTCAAATCTCACGGGACCCTCTGTGATGCAATCTGGGCCGTGTAAGTGCTGCAATCTGGGCCGCCGGCAAGCCCAAGATCGCTTCGCTTCGGCCTCTCCTCTTCTTCCTCCGGCGAAAACCTTTTTTAAACCCTAAACCATTTTCCCTCTCTTCCTCTCTCTGCAACGACGATGTTCTCGCCGGGGACGAAGAGACTGAGCTCGAGCTCGCGCGTTCGCCTCCAGAACCCGCCCGATTCGCCGTCGACTCCGGCCGCCGGGAACCAAGTCCCTCACCGGCCGAGCACCGGCACTCCCGCTCCGTGGGCCCCTCGCTTGTCCGTTCTCGCCAGGTGCCGCTTCCTCCCTTCCCGCCCATTTCGCCCCCCCCCCTCTCCGTGTCTTCGTCCTTGAAATCTGCTCGGAACTTCTCTCTCTCTCCGATTCGCAATCGTTGTTGCCGGAGCGGGAATTCGCGGTCAATTTTGTCCCGTTCGCCGCGATCGACGAGGCTGATGAAAACGGCCGGCGTGAAATTCGTGTGCTGGAGTTGCTCCGGAGTTGGAGTAATCCGGTTGCCCCCGGCGTGCTGTCGGATAGCCTCTCTCCGTGACGAAGTCCTGTTGCTCCCCCGGTGCATTTCCTTTTCGTGGATGCTTGTCGTGCTTAGGCTAGAGGTAGGAGGTAGGAATGTCAGTGAACGGTTCGTGCTTCTGAAGCGTCGACTTGGAAGCTTATGGAATATAAGACTAGAAGCTAGATACGAACTGTTAGGCGCTCGGATCCATTGTTTGATGGTAGTAGTTTGCTCAAAGAATACAAACTGACTAATGATTGAGCTGTCAAAGTTAAGTACCTTGTTTCATGCATGAAAGTTTGCTTGTTCGAGAGCCACTCAAGTTCTTCTTTTGATAGGCGGGAGTGACTCGTGTTCTTGTTTCTCATCCCTCGTATTTCTTTTGATATCGTCCTTGACACACGGTCAACTTACCTTGACATGAAAGACATCTATATTTTGGAGGGCTAAGGATAGAGGACTCAGAGACTCGAAAATGGAAACCTTCGTGTTAGCTTCAATGGAGAGACTCAGGCTATGACATTCACGGCTCTGAAAAACATATTTTCTCGTTCAATTATAAGTTGTCTCTCATCATTACGTATGGACTAATGCGGTAACATATTGAGGTAGATTTACTTTTGGTTTTTCGAACCCAGAATTCCTGCAGGGAACAAAGTCAACAAAAATGCTGAGGTTGATCCGACGAAACCTGTATTTGTTGGTGACTTCCCCCCAGCAGTGCGAGATGAACAAGCGAGTTTTTTGCAGAATCGTCTTCCTGGTTTGTACATGCCCTGATGTGGAACATTTGCAGTGTAAATATGCATCAAATATGGCGGCAATAATTTAATGTATTTCCTTAGCAGGTTATGTGCGAATATCTGGTGGGATAGACCGTGCAACTTCTCTTACTTGGATTATCTGTCAAAATAAGATTTTCATCTGGAATTACTTATCTCCCGCAACTTCTAAAAAGTGCGTTGCTCTTAACATTCCTACTGTGTTATCTGAAGTCGGAGATAAGAACAGAAAAGTATACGATAGAACCGATTGGTTAGTCTGTGTTGTTAGCTGGGATGGCACACATCACCAAAACAACAATGTCACACAACATTGCAACTCAGTCGGTGTCGTCATGTGTAGCAAAAGAAGTCGAGCAGTTGTATACTGGCCTGAGATCTTCTCTGATTCTGAAACTGATCCAATTATCAGTTTTGCTTCTGCTGATGAGCTGGATGTTTCTCCCGTTGATGACAAGACTAGTCCAGATAGCCTACAACGACATGGTAGGCTTGGAAATGTTTCACCTGGATATAGCATTTTCAACTCTTTAATCGCTACCTCTATTCCTGACAGCGAAAAAGAGTGTGTCGCCCTTGCATGTAGTTCCAGTGGTGAGCTTTGGCGGTTTCATTGTGGTCCATACGTAGTAAATCGAAAATTGATATATAAGGAAAGAGGCAGTTCTTTCTCTCAAGGCAGTGATAATGGCCGTAGCATGGGCAGGAAGGTTGCTTTGAGGTCGCTCAGTTGGCGTTCTCCTTCTGTTTCTTTGAAAAGACCTTCTCAACAATTCTTCCTGCTGACAGATCATGAAATACGTTGCTTCAACCTTGAACCTGATTTGGAAGTCTCAAACCTCTGGTCTCAGGAGATTGTTGGGAATGATGGTGATCTGGGTATTAAGAAGGATTTGGCTGGTCAAAAGAGAATATGGCCTCTGGATTTGCAGGTAGATGATGGTGGAAAAGTAATCACTATTCTTGTTGCAATTTTCTGTAAGGACAGGGTTAGTGGGTCAAGCTACATGCAGTATTCTCTGCTGACCATGCAATACAAGTCTGGGATGGATGTACCTTCTGGAGCTGTGGAGCCATCGCAGGAACGGATTTTGGAGAAGAAGGCTCCTCTTCAAGTGATAATCCCAAAAGCAAGAGTTGAAGATGATGACTTCTTATTTTCCATGAGGCTGCGGGTAGGGGGCAGGCCCTCAGGATCTGTAGTTATACTTTCTGGTGATGGAACAGCAACTGTCGCCCATTATTACAGGAACTCCACCCGGCTGTATCAATTTGACCTGCCTCATGATGCTGGAAAAGTTATGGATGCTTCAGTTCTTCCTTCTACAGATGATTGTGAAGAAGGTGCATGGATTGTTTTAACTGAAAAGGCGGGAATGTGGGCAATACCCGAAAAGGCTGTCGTACTTGGTGGAGTAGAACCACCAGAGCGAAGTTTGTCACGGAAAGGGAGCTCAAACGAAGGATCTACAGAAGAAGAGAGAAGAAATCTTACCTTTGTTGGCAATGTTGCTCCAAGAAGAGCTAGTTCTGAGGCTTGGAATGCTGGGGATCGACAAAGAGCTGTTATGACTGGCGTAGCACGTCGAACTGCTCAGGATGAAGAAGCAGAAGCCTTGCTTGGTCATCTTTTTAATGACTTCCTGATGTCTGGGAAAGTTGATGGCTCCCTGGAGAAACTCCAAAATGCCGGGGCATTTGAAAGGGAAGGGGAGACAAATGTTTTTGTAAGAGCTAGCAAATGCATTGTTGATACCTTAGCTAAACACTGGACAACAACCAGAGGCGCTGAGATAGTGGCCATGGCAGTTGTCTCAACGCAACTTATGGATAAGCAGCAAAAGCATCAGAAGTTTCTTCAATTTCTTGCTTTGTCCAAATGTCATGACGAACTGTGTGCCAGACAGAGTATGTACATGATTGTCCAGTCATTGCTGGGATACATGCTTAGGATTGATTTTCACTCATTCTTTTTAGACATATTTTGGTCTTTTTGGTGGAGGGGATCGCCATGATGTATTTGTGTTTTTGCAGGAAATTCGCTCCAGACTATTTTGGAACATGGTGAAAAGCTGGCTGGCATAATTCAGCTGAGGGAACTGCAGAACAGGATAGGCCAGAGCCGTTCTAGTGGAGCTGGCTCACCTTATCCTGGATCAGAGAGTGATGCTTCAGGTGCTCTTTGGGATCTGATTCAATTGGTTGGGGAGAGAGCCCGTAGAAATACTGTTCTTCTGATGGACAGAGACAATGCAGAAGTATTCTATAGTAGGGTTTCTGATCTTCAAGAAGTTTTTTATTGCTTGGAGAAACAACTAGACTTTTTGGTCAATGTGGATCTGCCACTCGAGATTCAGATCCGAAGAGCTTTTGAACTCTCAAATGCTTGTGTCACCATAGTTCGAACTGCCATACAATTCAGAAGTGAGTATCACTTGTGGTATCCACCACCTGAGGGCTTAACACCTTGGTATTGTGAGCCTGTGGTTCGTAATGGGTTGTGGGGCATTGCCTCGTCCATGCTTCATCTGTTGAATGAAGCAACAAGAGTGGAATCCTCTGTAAAATCGGAAATCTTCAGTCACCTACAGGTGCAGACCGAAGTTATACTCGAGGCTTATGCTGGGGCTATCACTGCAAAAGTTGAGCGTGGAGAAGAACAGAGAGGACTGTCAGAGGAGTATTGGAACAGGAGGGATGCCCTTCTTGATTCTCTTTACGAACAAATGAAAAACTTAGCAGCAGCAAGGCACAAGGTTCAATTCTTACAGCTCTGCTGTTTCCTTCAATCATTTTATTCACATTATGCTCACTTTTGCAGGACCATAATGAAGGAAATGGACAGGAGGATGAGGAGAACTTTCAAAATCTCTCAGTGCAATTGCTGGGTGTAGCAAAAAGGCATGAAGGTTATAGGACTCTGTGGAGCATATGTCGCGACCTCAATGACTTTGGCCTACTTAAAAATCTCATGGTAGGAACTTATTATGTTGACTTGGCATGATCTCTAGCTCCAGCTCGAGATATGAATTTGCAGACAACTTTTGGTTTTTGAGTCATGAATTTGAGACGCTTTTGCCCTCTTGTAATATTTAAATCCAAAATTTTAATTATAAGAAATGAATTTTCCTCATTTCCGTAGCTTGAAGGTCTTTAACAAAGATCTCCTGTTTCAGCTGATATTGCGTGATTTAATTCTCCCGGTTTGTTCTGTGAGTTTGACCAGTCCTTGCCTGTCTTTTAAGTGACTAGCATTTTCAGTCAGCATTCCCTTACCCAGCTGATTTTTCTGCTGGTTCCTTAATGATGTGCCATGCAGCGTGACAGCATGGGACCAAAAGGAGGGTTTAGTTATTTTGTCTTTGAACAACTGTACGAGGGAAAGGAATTTTCAAAGCTTTTAAGACTTGGGGAAGAGTTTCCAGAAGAGTTGTCAATTTTTCTCCAGCAATATCGTGATCTCTGCTGGCTACATGAAGTGTTTCTTCATCAGTTCTCATCAGCTTCAGATACTCTTCACGCATTGGCTCTTTCTCAAGATGAGGGTAATATTTCAGTAGCTGAAGATGGGGTTGAACCAAGGGATTTGAATCTGACACTGTCCGATAGAAAACGTTTTCTGAATCTCTCAAAGATAGCTATTTTAGCAGGTATTTTTTTTTTAATTTATTACTCGTTTACATTAAAGATACATACTGTCTTATAATCTCCTTAAATTCTTATAAACTTGCCTGTCTCGTTCTCCATGTTTTTTCGATTGCTTGGTTCCCTGTGTTTCACTTCCCTTATGCTGTAGTCCTTTGAAGTTTATCTTTGATGTCGATTTTGTCAATAGTTATAATTTGCTTGATTGAAACAATTAAGAAAGTAGGTGCACTTTGCCTGATTCTGTAAATTTCACGTGTTTAGATGACTTCATCAATTGGCTTTGAATGCCATGATCAGATACCAACTTATGATATTTCTTACCTGTATGTCTGCACTTCAAGTGTAGGTTTTTAATGAATATTAGTGATTAATGAGTTAAAAGTTTGATGGCATATGTAATTTGTATATTTTGGATTTGCATTAATGTCCAAGATAATTTCTTACGTCTCAATTAGAGGTCTTTGACTTTGTTTCTCAGATATTAAGCATAGTCAATCTTTAGATCATATCTGGTCACTGCTGTTCTTTTCAGTCTTTCTTCATCAGCACGACAGTAATATTGTGAAACTGCTCACTAGACTGGTGTGGTGGTTTTTATTTTTGCATACTACAGGTAATGATCCTGATGCTGAGATAAAGATGAAACGCATTGAGGCTGATTTGAGAATTCTGAAGTTGCAGGTTTGCTTACTCCTATTTGCAGCAAAAAAGAAACGTTGGTCATTATGCTTTTGTTAAAAACTCATCTGCCTAGGTCAATTCTGGGGCAATTTCGAAAGTATGTAGTCTGCACAATTCTTTTCACTTTGCAACTTGATTGCAACTACAATTTTATGCTGAAAATTCCTGTTGAGTTTATAATGTGGCAGCAGATGCTGCAAACCCTAAGTAATGCAGTGTATAATCCAGTGTTCATTTTGCATTTGAGTTTTACATTTGAAAACTTGGCCGGTATTATCACTGTGAATTTATGTGTAGAAAGGGACAGCAAACATTTGGGATGAGGATTCCATGGCAGTGATTAAAACCATTCAGCTCCCACAATGGTCTAAGCTAGAGTAAGACAATTGTATAGATAGCTCAGAGGATTCATTCCCGGTCCCTTTTTGTGGCATCGTTCACCCAGTTTGATAGTTGGTGGATTTGCGCAATCTGGTCTTATATTAGCTCGTAATTCACTTATCGGTCCATTCACTTCACTGTAAGGAGCTTTCTGCTCCTAGTTTGGGTAGAAAGTTGTGCTTAGGTTATCCAACATAATCATTTGGCAGATCATTGCGGCAGCTCGTTATTAATAAGCCGTGGGGAAATCTATCCATGAATCCATATTTACCCTCGGTGATATGAAATGTATGCTTGTGCATGTATCTGCGAGTTCTTCTAACCATTAGAACTCGCAGGAAGAGATAATGGACCTCGATATCGAAGCAAAGCACAACATTCAGCAGCAGCTTCTCCCCCCCGATGATCTGATCAAGTTGTGCCTTAAAAGTGGTAGCGCGGAGCTTATACCGCGTGCTTTTGATGTATTTGCATGGACCAGCTCCTCTTTTCGCAGGTTTAACAAAAGCCTTTTGGAAGAATGCTGGAAAAGTGCGGCCGATCAGGATGACTGGGGGAAACTTCATCAAGCATCGACCATCGAAGGCTGGAGCGATGAAGAGACATTGCGTGTCCTTGGAGATACCATGCTCTTCCAGGCTTCGAGCCGGTGTTATGGGCCCGAGGCAGAAACTTTTGAAGAAGGGTTTGAGGAAGTGCTGCCATTGAGGCAAGAAAATATGGAGCCGCCTGTTCTAAAGGAGTCGGGTTCTTCTGTGGAAGCAATGTTGATGCAGCACAAGTATTTTCCAGATGCAGGGAAACTTATGCTGATGGCGATTGAGTTGGGCAGCGCTCGGAGCCGTATTGACGGTGAAGAGGGTCCTGCGCCCATGGAATGATAACTCCTACACAGAATGATATAACCCGTCCTGCTTACATCCTTGTACATTGTAATGATTCTCGCATTCTCACGGCATGATCATCCAGGCATCCGCGATTGTTTTTTCGAGGGGGTGTGAGAACTGTTGAAGCAAATGTGGTGTGACTTGGAATTTTCTCGGAAGCCAAGCAATAGTCGGAGAAGACTCTACTTGGAAGAGAAATTGAGCTTTAGCAGATGCGTCGTGCGACATCTGCAAACTGCGGTGGAATGAAAAATCTGCACCGCCATCTTGCACAAACAAGGAGAACAGAATGTGAATTCTACCTAAGCCACTTCTATTTTTTACTGATCTTTTCACCTTTTTTTTTTTTTCTCTTTTTCAATTTTTAGTATGGCGAGTTGCATGATTTCTAGAAAAATTTCCAGTCTAGTTCATTCGGTTTGCAGTCTCATCTCAGGTTCTTGGGCAAATCGGCTAGGCATTAGCCCAGCCCAAAACATAGTTTCATTTCCTAGATTTGGTCAGTGATGTGCTTATTAATTACAAGCATGTGATGAAATAAAATGATTAGCTACAAGTATGTTATGCTCTGGTCAAAACGAATTGCATTTTTGTGCATTTTGCGTCTGTCCTCTTACTTTTAAGAGTCACTTCGCAGAAAAAAATTAACGGAATAAGCACACTGGGAATTTTAAAATTTATCGCTAAAGTGTGATTGATTCCTAAAATCTTGTCACAAAGTGTAATCAATAAAAGGACTTGATTGAATCAATTTGATAAATTTTAGGATTTATTTGCATTCTTTGAAAATTTAGGATTTAATTGTACCTTCGTAATAAGTTTTAGGGCTTAATTGTACGTTTTGGAAGTTTTAAAATTTAATTATATTTTCGTTACAAGTTTTAAGACTTTCAATACACTTATCTCAAAAATTAACATGAGTGTTTAATAATTTCGATGTGAGTTCTAAAAAACTCGAGCTTTAGTAAGAGAAATCTAAATCAATGAAGCAAAATATACTTCTAGATGAGATGAGCCATATCCAGCGATGAGGAAAGTCAATTTCATCACGATATAAAGTAATTGCGGATAAATTAGATCTTTAGTGTATTCTGGTGGCCCTGAATCTGACTCGGAAATTAACTCTAGCAATCCCACTCGAAACGTTCACACAGGATCTCCCACAGTCCACGTGGCGGAAGACCATCCACTCTGTCCTCGGGAAAATCAGAAGGGGGAAATCCGAATCCGACCTCAGGACCAATGGGACGGTGCTGACGTGTACATAACCTGATCCAGGAAATCTTCTCATGCCCCGATATAACCCCCCTTTGCTCTCCTCCTAGCATCCGCACCACCTGCTTGTTTTAGCCATTTCGATCCCGAAGCCCAAGTAACAGAGTCTCTCCGTGAAGAGGAAATGGCCACCACCGTGATCCAGCAGTCTGCATTCGCCGGCCAGACCGCCTTGAAGCAGTCCAATGAGCTCGTCCGCAAGGCCGGCAACTTCGCCGGCGGCCGCGCCACCATGCGTCGCACTATCAAGAGCACTCCCCAGAGCATTTGGTGAGTGTCTTGACGCTCTTGCTTGATTTCGGTGCTTTATTGGACTAAGCTAAGCTTTGCTTGATCGCACCATTTCAGAAAAGTGAAAACAAGCAAAGGGGTAACAGCTACATCAACACGTAGCTAATCAAATTTTTGTGTACCATTTAAAGTAAACTCTTAACATGTCCATTTACGGATAAAGCACGAACTTGATCTCCCAAGAAACTCTCAAGAAGAAAGATCATTTCTTCCAGGACAGTGACTTCACTTTCATGTAGGGAGTCGGTCAGCAATGAATTCTTACCCAAGTGAATTCGCAATTTTATCGACAGGTACGGACCGGACCGCCCCAAATACTTGGGCCCTTTCTCGGAGCAGACTCCATCCTACTTGACTGGTGAATTCCCCGGCGACTATGGCTGGGACACTGCCGGTTTATCTGCGGACCCCGAGACGTTCGCCAAGAACCGTGAGCTCGAAGTCATCCACTGCAGGTGGGCCATGCTCGGTGCTCTCGGGTGCGTCTTCCCCGAGATCCTCTCGAGGAACGGTGTCAAGTTCGGCGAGGCCATCTGGTTCAAGGCTGGAGCGCAGATCTTCTCTGAAGGCGGTCTTGACTACTTGGGCAATCCCAACCTCATCCATGCACAGAGCATCCTTGCCATCTGGGCCTGCCAGGTATGATTGGCTGTATCATGCTTAAGTGATTATATTCACTAGATAATAAAATCAAGTCTCCAACAAATGCATCCTATATTATGACACAATCTTTTCTCATGTTCAATGAGATTCATTCCAACACAAATTAGGCATAACAGCTACCAAGGTTTGTTTAAATGATTTAAGTATTTGAGAGTGAGTACAACATTCAAGCATATTGCTTCTATATAATTAGAAGAAAAATAGATGTATAATACTTCACTATTTACTCGCCGCAGAAGCGAAACTTGGTTATTGGTCAACTTATGTTGCTTCTTCTGCTGTTAGGTTGTGCTCATGGGATTAATCGAAGGATACAGGGTTGGAGGAGGACCTCTTGGCGAAGGCCTTGACCCACTTTACCCTGGTGGAGCATTCGACCCTCTAGGATTGGCAGATGACCCCGATGCATTCGCAGAGTTGAAGGTGAAGGAGATCAAGAATGGAAGGCTTGCAATGTTCTCGATGTTTGGATTCTTTGTTCAGGCCATTGTAACTGGAAAGGGCCCGATCGAGAACCTCTTCGACCACCTTGCCGACCCCACATCCAACAATGCTTGGGCTTACGCCACCAACTTTGTCCCTGGAAAATGAATTTGAATTTAGTGCTTGCTGAAGTGTAAAACGATCTTGGTTTCCTGGAACTTGTTTTGTTGGGGCCTCATTAGAACTGATGTAACTTTTCTGGTCAGAAGATGCTTGTGAGACAATGTATTACCAGACTTTCAGTTCTATTGTGCATCAAGAAAATATACACTTTGGAGTGATTGTCTTGTTTAAATTGTTATATGACATCTCTATCTCCGAGGAACCCCAGTCTGATTATTCAGAAGTTGGTGCAGGCATTATCTGCGAGTTACTATGGTATCAAGTTGCTTCTTTCTGAAAATACCAGCAGAAGCTACCCAAGTGATCAAAATAACACAGAAATGGTTTAATCACCAGAAATCATTGCAGGAACATGATCCACTTTTGAAATTATGGAAACGGCTATTATCTCTCACGATGATTTCTCGATCATAGATATGGGAAAGTAGCTTAGTTACAGAATGACAATCGTTACAAACACGAAGGTTCTTCATGATACGAATTGGACTTCCGGGGTGTACATTTATGAGACCAAAAGCAATGGCCAGTCTTTCACTATGGTTCTCCAACTCAGCTTCCTTCTCCTCCTCCTCTTCAATGCAGAGAAGAACTTGGGAAGTATCGGGCACATGCCCTGCCAATTTCAATCTCTCTCTCATTTCAGTCAACTTAGAGTATATTTGTTCCATCTGCGGATGTGACTTATCACCCACAAGAAACTCATGAAGCATTCCCTTGTGCTCAATCGAACTACAACCAGGCTCTTTCCTAATTCCTTTCTTCTTCATCATTTCTCTAACTTGTGAAACTTTGTCCCACTGACCTGCAGCGGCATATATGTTCGAGAGAACAATATAACATCCCATAGTTTCCGGAGCCAAGTCAATCAGATGTCGTGCTGCATATTCGCCGACTTTTTGGTTTCCTTGTATTCGGGAACCACTAAGTAAGCTCATCCACATTACCTTGTTGGGTTTCATGGGCATGGTGTTGATCACATACTTTGCCTCTTTCACACGCCCAGCTCGGCATAATAGATCCACCAAGCAACCATAGTGTTCCATTGTTGGTTTAATCCCGTATTCTTTCTCCATCATTTCAAAATAATGGCGTCCATGATCAACCAAACCTGCATGATTACAAGCATTTATTACTCCAACAAAGGTTATGGCATTGGGCTTAATTCCGGCTTTGCGCATTTCAGCAAATAGTTGAAGAGCGGGACTGGCCATGCCGTGCATTCCCAATCCTACAATGATGGCAGTCCAATGGCCCAACTTCTTCTTCGATGTTGAGTGAAAAATAGCCAGAGCATTCTCAATGCTCCCACATTTCGAATACATCTCTATGAGCAAAGTACCGAGAACACCATCTAATGGATGTTCATTCTTCACCATGTAAGAGTGAATGCAGCTTCCCGTACTAAGAGTTGCCAATCCGGAAACTGAAGAAAGAGCACTAACTAGAGTAGCATGATTAGGTATGAAACCTTCTTTTATCAGGGAGTTAAACATGTCTAGAGCTTCCTCAAACCGCCCATTCAAGTCATATCCTGCGATCATCGAATTCCACGTAATTAAATCTCTCGCGCGCATTTCGTCGAACAAATCACGAGCCGAATTGAAATTGCCCGATTTCATGTACCCGTTGATCATCGCATTCCAAGTGACCAAACTCCTACTTGGCATTTTTTCGAATATTTCTCTAGCAGCCTCAACCTTCCCACATTTCGAAAGGCCATCGACCAGAACCGTCCACGAGAAAGAATCCCGCTCTGGCATTTCATCGAACACCTCCAGCGCAAGCTCAATCTCCCCACACCTTGCATACCCATCGATCAAAGCATTCCAACAGACCAAATCCTTATCATCCATGCCATCGAAAACCTTCCTCGCGGAACCAATGCAACCGCACTTGGAGTACATGCTAACCAAGCTGCTCTCCACAAACTTATCCGAACCCAACCCAATCTTCAGAGCCAGCCCATGAACCTGCTTCCCCTCCTCGACCGCACTCAACCGAGCGCAGCCCTTAATCACACACGGCAGCGTGAAACCGTCGGGCGCTAAGTCCCGAACCAGCTCCCGGAACAGGCACAACGCGTCATGGGAACGTCGGTTCTCGACGCAGCACTTGATGACGACGTTCCAGGCGGGCAACCCCGGTTGGGGAATTCGGTCGAACACGGAGCGCGCGTAGCGGAGGTCGTTGATCTCGGGGCCGGCGTAGAGGGCGAGGAGCTTGGAAGCCGCCGCGGGGTGATCGAAAGCACCCGTCTTGAGGGACAAGGCGTGGACCTGCTTCGTTTCCTGGACGGTCCGGCAATTCAGGAGGAGGGAGAAGTCGAAATTCCGGGGAAGATCGCGGCGGAGAGGCGGCGGAGGCGGCGGCGGCGGAGGAGGACGAGGCGGCGGCGCGAGTTGCAGCATTGGATGGGTCGCGGCTCGAAGACTGAAACGAAACACCGGAGGAGGAGGAGGAAATGTTGCGGACTTTGTTTCTTATCTTAATCCAACGGTCCTAACGGGCCCGAATCCTGGGCCCCAAAATTGGGCTGGGTCGGTCTGGCCCAGAACACCGGGCCTCGCGACAATGGCCCAGGCCCGCCCGCTCGCTCACGGGCATGGAGGATCTCGAAACCCGAACCCGATTCGGTCCGGAAAAGAACGTGAATTAGGTGTACCGACGCGTGCGAAATTCGAAGGGAAAAACTTTGACCCAATATACAATGTGGTCCCCAAACTTTAATTTGTTCAGTATGGTATCTCAATTTTGGTCCAATGTGCAAAATCGTCCATGAACTTTCAATTTGTTCAATGTAGTCCATGAACCTTTAATACATATTCAATCTGGTCCCTAAATTATATGAAAATATTCAATGTCGTCTATATACTTGAATTGATGGAAAGATGACATTGAACGTTTTCATATAGTTTAGGAAATAACTTAAACATATACCACAAGTAAATTAAAAGTTCAAGGACCATATTACACATTAAACTAAAGTTCAGTAACCACATTGAACAAATTAAAAGTTCAAAACCACATTACACATTGGATCAAAGTTCAAAGACCATATTGAACAAAGTAAAAGTTTAAGAGCCACACTATTTATATCGTTATCCCAAGTTAAAATAAATATCTTTTTTTTTAATTGATTTTAAGGTTAATTGTATTTGAATTATAGGACAAGGAGAAGAAACAGTGTCAACTCATCTGTCCTTGAATCTTTCTGGTAAGCAACCATGCAAAGCTCCGAATGCAAACGTTCGTTCCTTCCTCTGTGTAACTGTATCCCCACGAAGTGTTCTTTAACACATGGATCTCATTAGTAATTGCAATTGTGCACTAGACATGCCCAACTTTTTTGATTCGTGCATCTTAAGTCAACTGAACAATTAATAAACATTTGGAGACTTGTCGATGTTCGGGAGAAATCTTCCTCCATGAATTCGTCGCAATGGTCGAATTTTCATCATGGTTGGAGCATAATCCTTGGAGCAAGTGCGTGGCTTGTTTTTGCTATGGACAAACAAGTCGCTCTTCCAATATGAGTTTATTTTCCCTTCGAATATGGTATAAGTAATTTAGTCATGCACGAAGGAAATCATCAATGCTTCGTCCTAGAATAACTCGACGATAAGTGGACCATGACTATCTTCAATATTGGTTAGTTAAGATAATTCACCTTGAACCGAATGTTGACAGGTTTATTCATAAACGAAGAGGGTGACTTGAGTTGATGGTTTTACCACATATGTAGGAGTATGTTTGTTTTTTTTTTTTTTAGTCAAAGTAGTATGTTTGTTGACGCGAGCAGAATTTTGCAAAACAACTCGGCTTTCAAAATATCATCATAAGATTGACTCTAACGCCATCAATGATCTTGTTAGTCCAAAGCTTAAAAATTGTTGGATTCTCATTTTGAATTCAAAGTGCAACATAACCTTCGGAAATGAAATTGTCATGTCGACCAGCTTGCTAATCAAGAATTGATAAGTGTTTGGACACTAGATTCTTTTTATTACCTCATAAAGAGTTACTTCATGTTTTATTATGTGATAAAATAGGAATAGTAGATTTACGAGGTTTAAACTTTTGTACTCGACTTTAACCCTTTTTCATAAAAGAAAAGAAGTAAAAAAACATTTACGGACGAGGATTACCTAATGATCAAAGCCACAAGATCGCTAGCAAATGTCGAAATCACAACAAAAATTACGCATCGTTCTAGAGAGTTTTTCCTTTTTCTTATAAAAAAAATACACAAATGTTCTTTTGCCTAAAAATAAATCTTTTTTTATCGAGATATTCTTATCTCGCTCTTGTAACTTAAAAGTACTAATTCCGAACGTAAATTGTCTACTCCAATCTTTACTAATCCCCTCTTTCATGCCTGTTCATTCGCAGCAAGGGACGCGACTTTAAATATTCTTGAAAGTATCAGCTATGTCTCTATCCTCGCCATGTTCCTTTTGAACATTAGTTGGGGGCTTGGATAGACAAAGGTCTTCGCATACGAAATGCAATCCTATATTAAACTCTCGAAATAATGTTATCAAGTCTAAATTATGTTTTTGCCTTAAGGTAATCGAGTTCTTGTATCAAAAATAGACGGTCCGCGTGCAAAATCAGAGAAACGATTATGGAAAAATGTTCATTTTCAACACGTAACCTGCTAACAGACCCTGGATTCAAAACGCGACCGCATCAGGTAAAAGGAGATTCGGAGCTCTGAATACAAAGGGCCGAGAGAGAGACGATCTGACCTCGCTAGACTGCCGTTGCCGAGAGCTCCCGCTCAGCGGTCGGCATCGAACCGAAAGAGGGCCACCGCATCAGCGAGCTGCACATCGCTTTCCTCCTCCGGATGGATGGATGGTGTCTCCAAGCGCTACAAAACATGAAGGATCGGAACAATTGCTTCTGCTCCTCGTCCCCTTCTGCATGCCCTTTGTCTCCACTCCAAACGAATAAATCGAACCGAGTTGAAAACCCGGGGCTTAAACAAACGATGTTTTAACCCCTGAAAAACCGCAACAACAAGGAAGTGATTACGTCCTTCGCCGAAGCCTTCAAGTCCTAGAAGACAAGCCGACGCAGTGGATCATCCACCTAATCGTTTATTCCCACCTCCAGATCCCTCCAAATGCTACGACAAACCCCGGTTTTGGACGCACCCGCTTGCCTCCTTCCTCCCCTGGAAAAGTCCTCTTCTCCTGCTAACCCACCATACTCAACCCCTCTTTCTCTCTGCGTGTGTGGAACTTGCCCCTTGGAGCTTTGTCCTTGGAGGGTTGCTGCACAGCAGCCTGATTCTTCTCCCCCGTGACATCACCCAGAATCAAGAAGATGGACCATCTGGAAGGCGACCCTCTCTTGCTCTCTGTTCCTGAATTAAGAAAGCGAATCATGTTGACACCTCTGGAATTATGGCGAGAACGCATGGGGGGACACACGGGTAATTTTTCGAGAAATCCGTGGACAAACTGAGGTGAGTTGAACACCCTCTTGCTAATGTTGTGTGCATTTTCATGGAGCAGTTCTTTTTCTCTGTCTAGGGAAATGCTCATTAGAATAGAAAGGTTGCAAGTTTATAATTGCGTGAGGTCAATGGTTTAACAGTTCATTTGGAAAAAAAAAAGTGAATTATGTGGGAGTTGACACAGGGACATCCCTCTAGGACACTTCTCCTCTCATTCCTCTGTTTTTTTTTTTTATATATAGAGAGATCTGAGACTTTTTCAGAGCCAGCTTTGAGCATATTTCCAGAGACCAACATCATCATCACCTTCCAACCCCTCTCGTCCCTCAGAAGTTCTGGTTCCATGGGCAGGGAAAGTACTGATCCTAGCCCCACGGTGGCGAGCTCTTCCATCGCTCTACTGCAAGAGAGGTTCAGAGAGCTGCAGAGAGTGAAGCAGAGAAGAGAAGAAAGGGAGCTCATGAGACTGTCTCTCGAGCCGGACCTGGCGGCAGCCCCTGTCGCGAACCCTGATCGTCAGGCCAAATTCCGTCTCCAACCCAGCATGAGTTCAAGTTCTTCTCCTCAGGATTATTGCTCTCTCTCGCTCGGCCTCACGACTCACGCCAACAGCGACAAAGCCAGTTCAGGAGTAGCGAAGACCAATCCTAGGATGAGCTTATGGCCTGGCAACGATGGTCTGGCAATTTCAGGAACATCAAGAGGTTTTGAGAGCCCTGATGTGGATACGTCCCTCCATCTGTAGAATGTGTTTTTTACTGAGTCCTAGATACATGTATGTAAGTACTGGATGTATGCTCTCTTTTTCCTTCCTTTTGAAAGAGGATCTTGAGTTGGATCATATGCAACGGTCGCAGCACCATTCAGCAGATCCTTTGTTCATGCAAATTTTGCGATTGTTTCGGAGGTTGTTGTTCTTTCGGTGATCACCTCTCTCTCATCTCTCCTTAGACAAATTCTGTATGTCTCTAGATAGATGGTCTTTCGAAAGGCTAGATCGGAGGTGACCGAGTACCGGTCGATCATCGATGAAAGCGGATTCTGCAGCTATCGTCTCAGAATGGACTGATAGCTCTTTCTCCTTCTGTGCTTGGTTTACGGTACACATGAGATGCCAAGAGCAGACGCAGAGACTGAATTTTTCACTCCAATGAGAACTTTTTACCTTTAGTTTACGAAATTTTAAGGTGCGAAAAAGCGAGGATTTCTCGCCATCAATTCTGAAATTTCACACTACTTACATTCACTGATTCACATAAGTTCTAACTAGGTAAACACACTGCCGAATTTTGGTCGACAGAAGATTAGCCTCTTGCGTGTAATTCATGGTTCACCGAGGCATGCTTGAAGAAAACAATGAAGAAGAGGAAGTAATTATCAGGTTAATGATAGGGGAAAATCATCGTTTTCGCCTTGTTATGTTACGCGGTTTGTCCAAATTTCCTTTTCGTATATCTCAAGTTTCATCTTAATGCAGGAAGAGAGAACAATCTCATTCTCTGACACTTCCTGTTTTCCATAAGGATCTTGTTAACGAGTGTCTCCGGAGCACTTGTTAAGCATGACATAAAAGTGATGACCAACTTTTCGAATGAGTGATCACACACAACACGACGCGGCCGGTACACTGAAAACCCGGAAAAGTTTTTCTTGATCAGTAGCTTGACGGGTATCCGAGGAACCTCTCTCTCCAACAAGATCCATTCATGTGAGTCTCCGTGCTTAATTTGGCTTCAGGCTCCTCCTGATTCCTGCCATGGAAGTCTGCAGTTCTTGCAGGCGGATGGGCCTGGAAAATGGCCGCTTTTCAGTCGGGCTTGGATCTAGCTCGGGTCAGGGGCCCGTCTACGTTTCACGGGCCGTGTTCTGGGCCCATTCAAAGCCCCTCAAAAAATTTGATCATTTGCTTCTGAACAGGAGGAGGACATCGTGAAGTGAAAGGGAAAAATGGTTCAGCAGATGGTAAGAGTTTGCTCGACTCTTCCTACCCCGGAGAATCCCCTTGTAAATAATTACTAAAAAAAGAAATGGATTTTGTCAATTAATATCTTTTTTTTTATCGAAGTTTTGTTAATTAATATCAGGAAACTTATTAAGTAATCAGTCAAGAATAGGTTTACCGCATCGATTTCGTGGTGTCGTACGTAATTAGCGTGCTAAGACTATAAATGATTTCGAATTACGTAATCTTTTCACCTAAATAATATGATCCTTCTGGCCATTATCATGGAATTATCAAGTACGCGCAGTGTTGGAGCCGACCGATCGAGCTGTTGTTCCTGAACTTAAATTAAGAGAGGAACGACGTTGAACATCTTCATACATTACATGGACTAAATTGAACATGTACTAAAGATCCAAAGACTGCATACATGGACGATATTACATATTGGGCTAAAATTCAGGAATCACACTGAACAAATTTAAAATTCAAGGATCGCATCGCACGTCGTATTAAAATTCATGGATCATATGTACCATTATCCCTAAATATTAATGTAGGTGAGAATATTACCTTAAAAGACGTTTATTGGTGAGGGAAATTGTTTTTTTATCTGACGTGGCAAAAGGTGATTGGCTAACCGGTCGGGGCGCTTGGGAAAAATGGTGTGCGATACGGCAGCGGGAGCTGACTGGCCACACGCTCGGTCCCTGGTTCGCCTCGCCTCCCCATCTCCAGAACCTTCTTCTCCTCCTCCTCCTCCTTCATCCCTAAAACCCTACCAAAACCCCCCACGCCTCACCGCCATTTCGCCACTCGCTCGGAGCTCGCTGCCATCTTCCCTTCCCTTCCCTCGCCCCCTTTCGGCGTTTCCCCACCATGCACAGGCTCTCCTCGAGGCGCTCCGTCTCGGCCCTCCTCCGCCTCCGCGGCGCCAGCCCCCGCGCCGCCGCCGCCGCCCCCGCCGCCAACACGGTACGACCGCCCGAACTCGAATCCATCTGTTCGGTTGAGATGGAATGGTGAACCTTTGCCGCGAAATTCGCTCGGCACGGAGTGCGCTCGGTCATTTCGTTTTCCGGTTTTCATTATCCAAATTGTCGGTCGTCTGTTCTTCGCGCGTGTAAATTTTTGGAAATATTGGATGTATCTCTCGTTTGGCGATGTAAAATTAAACTTCTTCTCCTTCTTCTTGTCTCTGACGATGGACATTGCGCAGACGACGGAGAATGATGTCAGAGCCGGCCAGTGTCCTGCGGTGCCCAGAGGGTGGTGCAACGTTGCTGGACCTTCGCACTCCTTGAACTTGAAGGGTTCTTTGGTCTCTGGCCGGAGGTATGAATCAACCGCGGCGGCGGCGGACGGCGCGTCTCCTCCGCCATCGGCCGAGAAATACGAGTATCAAGCGGAGGTATGCCGCTCGGAGGGACTGATTGATTACTTCTCTCGTTGATCGGGGTTGTTTGTTGTGTTGAGTCGCCTGTTTTCTGCTTTTCGATGGCAGGTCAGCCGACTAATGGACCTCATTGTGAACAGCTTATACAGCAACAAGGAGGTGTTTCTTCGGGAGCTCATTAGGTATCTTTTGGGTTTTGACCTGTTCGTCTTGTGGATGCTGGTGCTCATGAGCTTCTTTGTTCTCCCATCGACTCTATAAATTCTGTCTTCTCATGGTGCTCCGAGCACAATTTTTGAACTTAAACCATGATTTGAATTTGATATGACAAATGATACTACTGCGGGCCTGTGGCATTGAGCTATGCCATCTGTGGCTTGGAGCTCTATTTATGACTCAAAAAAAAAAGTGCTGGAATTTAAAGCTTGATTCCATACCAAAGGCCTCGACTGTTTAGAAGACCAATTTCAGTCGATATGCTGAATTACTTGTAACATTTGATGTGGTCAACACCTTCTTTATTTTATGTGAATGGATATTGAAGATAGGAAATGGTGTCTTTCACAATGAAGGGCGAGCTACATTCCTTTTGCGTACCAATTTTGACTTTGAGGGCCAATATAATTGGATTCACCTTTATATATAGATCGATGCACTTACAGGTACACAAATTAGCTACAAAAATAAGTGTTCTGCACTATTCAATAGACTAGTGCAACTGAAATTGTTATTCTACTTTTTGAGTGCTGTGCTGTTAGTTTGTGGAGTATATCATTTAAGTCGGTTAGTTGTCGTTGTTAGCTTTTTTTATTCTAATTGCTCTCTGGGCAGCCTAAGAAGAAAAGTAATCATCTTCATCTTACTAAATTATTGAGCTGTCATCGACATCATTTGACATTACTCATGTATGTGTTCCCAGCAATGCAAGTGATGCCCTGGACAAGTTGAGATTCCTCAGTGTTACTGAGCCACAACTTATGAAGGATGGGGCAGTGGATCTTGATATCCGTATTCAGACTGATAAAGATAATGGAATCATATCAATCACGTAAGTCAATGAGCTTCTGGCTTTGACTGATGATTTTACATTCTTTAAGTTGTTTAAAACCCCGCACGTTGTGTGTGCAGTGATACAGGTATTGGGATGACAAGACAAGAGCTAGTTGACTGTCTTGGAACAATTGCTCAAAGTGGAACAGCAAAATTCTTGAAGGCAGTAAAGGTCCTGTGATGTTGGTTCTGATGCTGGTTTTTTTTTTCCGTGCTAATTATTGAGATTAACAGTATTTGCTCATGGATGTTGTTGCTGCAGGAGAGTAAAGACTCTGGTTCTGACAGCAATTTAATCGGCCAATTTGGTGTGGGATTTTATTCTGCTTTTCTGGTTGCCGAAAGGGTACGTTGTCCAATTTTTATATCCTCTTCATAGCTACAATGAGTTTGCTCGCTGTGATAGTGTCGATCATTGAGACGGTTGTTTTTCTTTCCCCATTTTGAAGGTGGTTGTCTCAACAAAGAGTCCAAAATCTGATAAGCAATATGTGTGGGAAGGAGAGTCTAACTCCAGTTCCTATTCTGTTCGGGAGGAAACTGATCCGGACAAGCTTATTCCGCGGGGAACTCGCTTGACCTTGTATCTGAAGGTAAGCTAAACACTGCTTATCTTTATGTTTCAACTTGTATCAGTGTCTGTCTGTCTTATGCTATGTGGACTGTTATTTGGTCTCTTATTGGGCTCACACGGGTCTTTATCGGTCTATGTTAATGTAGAATGATGATAAAGGTTTTGCACATCCGGAGCGCATAGAGAAGCTAGTGAAGAACTACTCGCAGTTTGTTTCTTTCCCAATCTATACTTGGCAGGAAAAGGGATATACTAAAGAGGTTTGACAGATTTATTGATTTTTCTTTTTTCATGCATTTCATTCCGTTGGAGAGCTGCATTAGTGACTCGCCACTTCTGTGGCCCATTTCTTCTTCTGTTATTTAATACCGGCATGCTATTCTCATGCAGGTGGAGGTTGATGAGGATCCTGCCGAAGCCAAGCAGGAGGGTGATGACAAAGCTGAGGTAATCTCTTTCGCTTCATGCTCTAAAATCTGGACTATCTGTGAAGCACACAGTTTTTTAGCATAAACAGTAGAAAGTTTTGTGTAGCTGCTTATCTGCTACTGGTATGTGATGATGTTACAGAGGAAGAAGAAGACAAAGAAAGTTGTTGAAAAATACTGGGATTGGGAGCTGACCAATGAGACCCAACCTATATGGGTGAGCTAGATGCATAAGCCTTTGCTCTGTGCAAATTGAAGTTTCTTTATTTGGGTGAGAGTTTAATACTGGCTTTTCTTGTATTGCAGCTTCGGAACCCTAAAGAAGTTTCCACGGAGGAGTACAATGAGTTCTACAAGAAAACATTTAATGAGTACTTGGATCCATTAGCATCTTCGCATTTTACAACTGAGGTGATGCTCGTTAATTTGCTTGCATGTTATGTTTACTGTTTCGCCCACCGGATCCAGTAGTCTTAACTTGGCATTTTTCCTTAAATTCTCAATTCTTCGCCAATTTGTGGAAGCTTGGCCTCGCTCTGTTCAGTATATGATTTGACTAATTAGGTGTCGCATGTGTGCAATTGACACGGCTCCGTTACAGGACCATGTCTAGCATAAGTTCTAGATTGGCTCTTGACAATGAATCATTTACTTATGTGCAAACTAGTTCTGATTTTCTGCGTGTACTTATTTCGAATGTTATAAAACTCATGTATTGTATACTTGGTGATGATGTCTTCTAGCCCCTCTTTATGTGTTTATAGGAAGCTTAGGTCATAGGGAGATAGTTTGGATGGAAATAACCTATTAGTACTATGATTTTCTTGCATCACCTATTGCTGCTCTCAGTATTTGAATTTTTAAGGTCAATCAGGACTCTTACTTCAGTTGATGATATGATGTCTTTATGATTTTTGCAGGGAGAAGTTGAGTTTAGGTCTATCCTTTATGTGCCGGCTGTCTCATCTATGGGAAAGGAAGATATAGCTAATCCAAAGACCAAAAATATAAGGCTCTATGTTAAAAGAGTCTTCATATCAGATGACTTCGATGGGGAACTGGTAAGCAGAACGTCAATAGTTACCCAGTGAGATAAAAGAAAGGCCTCGGTTGAATGTAAGCTTATTAATGCTTCTTCATGTTGTTGTTTGCCTTCTTTGCTGGTCTTGGAATAGTTTCCTCGTTATCTAAGCTTTGTCAAAGGTGTTGTGGATTCCAATGATCTTCCTCTTAATGTCTCAAGAGAGATTCTTCAAGAAAGTCGCATTGTAAGTGCAATTAGAATCATTATTTTTATTGAATCAGTGGTCTTCAAAATAGTTTTCCATCTAATCTTTGCCATGGTAACTCGGTTTTTCTTTTTTAAGGTCCGAATAATGAGGAAGCGTTTGGTAAGGAAGGCATTTGACATGATTCTGGGCATATCACTGAGTGAAAACCGAGAGGTTTGTCTTGCCTTTTCTCTTTGAGATTCCATTCTTCTTTTAGTTTCATGGTGAAGATTTCTGACCAATATGGGGTTTCCTTTAAATTCTATTTCATATATGCCTCTTTCATACTTGTCTCTCTCTTCAGGATTATGAGAAGTTTTGGGAGAACTATGGTAAATACTTGAAACTTGGATGCATTGAAGATCGTGAAAACCACAAAAGGATTGGACCATTGTTAAGGTTTTTCTCCTCGCAAAGCGAGAATGAGATGATCAGCTTGGATGAGTATGTGGAGAACATGAAACCTGAGCAGAAGGATATTTATTTCGTCGCAGCGGACAGTGTGACTAGTGCTAAGAATGCACCTTTCCTGGAGAAACTTCTCGAGAAGGATCTTGAAGTACGTAATTTTTTATGCTGCACCTTGTTAATAATCATTTTTTTTCTTTTTTTCTTTGTTCAGTGATGGAATTTTGGGGTGCTCCTTTATAGGTTTTATTCTTAGTTGATCCCATCGATGAAGTTGCTATCCAGAATTTGAAATCCTACAAGGAGAAGGATTTTGTTGATATCAGCAAGGAGGACTTGGATTTAGGTTGGTTAAGCTTGTTACTCGAATCATGTTATCCTTTCTACTAGTGGAAGTCTTTATGATTGAGAAGTACCTATTTGGCAGAAATTGAGTCGTATTAATCGGGCTTTAGGTGTCCAGCCCTTACGAGGAATTGTAGTGAATCTCTCTGTAGAGCTGTAGCATGATAATTCTTGTTTGGTCTCAACAGGTGACAAAGACGAGGAAAAGGAGAAGGTGACAAAGCAGGAGTTTGGGCAAACCTGTGATTGGATTAAAAAGCAACTGGGTGACAAGGTGGCTAGTGTTCAAATCTCAAACCGACTCAGCTCATCGCCTTGTGTACTTGTATCTGGAAAGTTTGGCTGGTCTGCTAATATGGAGAGGTAACTTGATACATGTTTCTGTGAGGCGATTGTATATTTCAGCCTTCCCGGGAGGATCAATTCTGTGCTTTTTTTTGTTTTTTTGTTAAGTTCTTGATCGTAAATGTTATCCTTCTGGTAGGTTAATGAAGGCGCAGACTGTTGGGGATACCTCCAGCCTGGAGTTCATGAGAAGCAGAAGAGTGTTTGAGATTAATCCAGATCACCCGATTATTAAGAACCTGAATGTATGGCTGGTTGACTGTTTTTCGGTCTTCTGCACCAATCAGTTAAAAGTGATTTCTGATCCTTTTTCGACCTCACAATGCTTTCTTTTTAGGCTGCCTGCAAGAATAGCCCTGATGACGAAGATGCATTGCATGCAATTGATCTTTTGTTTGATGCAGCATTAGTCTCCAGTGGTTTTACTGTGAGTACCCGTGGACCTCCTATCTCGGACATTCAATCATTCTTGTAAACATAATCTAATGAAGCTCTTTGAGCATTAGATAGAGGGACACAATGCACCGCTTTCTTTGATTTCCTCAAACAACAGCCAATAGAAGCAGCATGATGCAAACTAGCCTCTCATGATTTTACTTGATATGCGGATTTATCGATATATTCATGTATGTATATGATCATGTCATGACTCTACTGTACTTGCAGCCTGACAATCCGGCGCAACTCGGGTGGAAGATATACGAGATGATGGGCATGGCTCTTTCTGGCAAGTGGCTACCCGCGGCAGAGGTTCAGTCCGCATCAGTCAGATCTCAAACTCCGGGGACGCTAGAGGCTGAGATAGTCGAACCGGTAGAAGCAGGCAGTCAGAAATGAGAATAGATTTCTTCTTTTACGTGCCATCTCCATAGAATGTATCAGCAGGTGCATGAAGCGAAACGGGCTCTTACTAGCGAGGATGATGAGTGTGGGTCAGTTTCTTGTGTTGGTATTTTGATTGATGGAAAAGGATGAAGAGCTGTTCTCTCGTGTAGTAATTAAGATCTGCTAGTGCTCTAGTGCTCTAATTCTTTCCTCCCCTCTTTGCTGCTTCTACGTCTCTATGCATTTTCTGCATCATGTGATTGGTGAAAAATGCCAAGAGGATTTCGGAGGTTCGTTCTCGGATTTAGTGGATCATTTGAGAATGAAGCTTCAGTTTTGAATACCCAATAGCAAAACTAATCCGCATACTTCTGTGCTTTTTGGGTTTGATTGTTCTTCAAATGGCCCAACCACTCCGAAATACCCGATTATAATTCGTTTAATAATTGGAGTCAAAGTCAAATTTCATGACTACAGATCAACTACTTCGTCTGAAATGGGTGTCGTGAGTGAAATGGGCAAGTGTGCAGACTGTGTGGGGCATGCATGGTTATATGAGATGCTACCGATTAATGCTGACGTCCGCGACAATTGTTTGGATTCGATCAAAATGGCTCTATTTATATCGAGGGTCATATCACTGTATGGAAGATAACAATATGACAGAATATAAGATGATGGGAATTCCGTGATTTTATTACGGCAGTAATTCGGCAAGCAGGCAGTAAATTATGCCTCTCGACCTCACGATTACTTGTTTTCAAGAAAGGAGATATAATCCTAAAGACTTTTTGGGCATTTCAAAGGACGTTGAAAGAGCGATTGATTTTGTTTTATTTTTCATTTTTTCTTTTGATTTGGCTCGGATAAGATAATAATTGCCATATAAATGGATTGATGATTGCAAAGACGTGCATGATGATTGTCCTCGAAAAATAATTAGAGGCGGAAATTCTTTTTCTTTTTTATTATTATTTCAATTAAAAAGAGAAAGACGCCTGACGACGGGATAATAATATCTCAATTTGGGTGGGAAGGGAACGGGTTGGACTCCCGACAGTGCATCGTCGTCCTTCGTCGCGTTCGCAGGTCAGAGACAGAAAAGAAAAAAGGCCAAAAAACAAGAAACTCGAAGTGTCGTCCGAAACGACAACACACGTAGAAACGACAGGAGGGGAGAGGAAACGTGCCCGACCGGTCACCCCATGCGGCCGACCGGCTGGGCCGGTCGTCCCAGCGTTGAAGACCCCAAAACGCGGAACGCGGAGCCGCCCCCTTCTCCAAACGTGCGCACCCCACTCGCGTCTCCGGTGGATCGAGGGTTCTCGCCGGTAATCTCTCTCTCTCTCTCTCTGGCTTCGGATTTCGCAGAAATGGTTGAAGATTTCTGCACGAGCATCTGTCTGTCTTGGCTTTTGCTTGTTCTGGTTATGGGTTTTGAAGTTTCGAACTTGGGTAGTTCCCTTCTAGCTGAATTTTTTCTCGGGCCTTTTCGGCCATCTGGGTAAAGCGAAGCTGAGCAGTTGGTCCCTGATCTCTGGATTTCTCGGCGGTTTCTCCGGTTTCCGTCGCTGGAGAAACGAGACCTCCTAGTCAACTGAGCTCGTGATGACATTCTAATTGCTCCGACGGGGTTTGGTTCGGCGGGTTAATCGGGTTTACTTTTGCAGTTGAGATCTCGCCTTTTCTTGATTTCGTTTGCCGTTTTGGCTGAGATTTTCGGGAGGTAACTTCTGTTTCGTTTCGATTGTTTCCGGTTCTTGATCTGGGTGTGGTCTCTATGGTCGGTGGTGGAAACGCGTTGTTAGTGAGTTAGCTTCGTTATGGGGTTTGCGCTCTGTATTTGAGCTGGTTCCGGTCGTGATCGCGGGCTTTTCTGGGTTATAGCATAATTGAACCTGGACATTTAATAGTGATTAAGCAAAGAAGATAACTTGATTGCGAATCGATTGGTGAAATCTTGTTGGATCTTTGATTGGGTTTAGTTTTCTTTTCAAAGAGGAAGCTCACTATAAGTAGATAAACTCTGTGAAATGCCTCAGTGAGGTCGACCTGGTAAGACCCAAGCCAATGCCCTGGTGGATGGCACAAACCTATTTGTGATTAGTGGTGTAGGGAATCGAATGGATGCTATGCATCTCACCCGAGCACATGCGTCTGTTCCTTAACCAATGAGCCCACCGCATGTGGTTCTGGTTGGAAATTGTTGACTGAGGCCATTATGAATCTTGGTCTTGAGAGAGTTCATCATTTGCAAAAGCCATTTTTAAACTTGTCCTGCAATTATTTTGTTTCTTTCTCGTGGGAGATAACAGCATAATTAGGTGCTCTGTCAGGTACATGTCTTTTGTGCCTTTCTGTTCTTAGATTTTTCTTGCGATATGTGTGATGCAATAGCATAGCATTATGGGAAGTTAGTAAACTTTTTCTTCCTGTCACAGTGGCACGATCAGGAAGATCAAAATCAACTGATGGGAACATCATCTGGTTCTAACATTCACCACCAACCTTCTTCGCAAATGCTGCCTCCACGTCAGCAAGCTCGGGCTGGGGGTTTGCAAACATCCCTTGCCCTTGTTTCGTCAGATGCCCACTTGTCTCCTGATGCGCAGGACCCTCGACCCAACTCTGATCAAATTCACGAGTCGCCTACTGAAAGTGCTAGCTCTAGGGAAACGTGGCCTACTGCTGATGCTATTATGGGAAAGAAGTTGGAGAACGGGAAGTCTGACAATGATGCCTTTGAACAGTCAGTCGTACGCCGTCTTTCCAGTGCAGATAAGGTATCCCTCCGGGACATTGCAAAAGAAAGAGTTGACCTGATTGCTGAGAAAATGCGTCGTTTGCCAGAGGATTATCTTGATGACCTAAAGAATATGCTTCGAGCTATCCTTGAAGGGAATGGCGGCTCACAGCAGAGAGACGAATTTTTGATTTTGCAAAAGCTTGTTCAGAGTAGATCTGATTTAACTGCCAAGACGTTGATCAGAGCGCATCGAGTACAGCTTGAGATCCTTGTTTCTATAAATACTGGAATTCAGGCATTTTTACATCCAAATATCAGTCTCTCCCAGACTTCTCTTATTGAAGTCTTTGTGTATAAGAGATGCCGAAATATTGCATGCCAGAACCAGCTCCCTGCTGAGGATTGCACCTGTGAGATATGCACAGGCAGAAATGGTTTCTGCAACCTCTGCATGTGTGTCATATGCAACAAGTTCGATTTTGAGGTGAATACTTGTCGGTGGATCGGTTGCGACTTGTGCTCTCACTGGACTCATACTGATTGTGCCATTCGTGATGTACAAATTTGTACGGGGCCCTCCGTTAAGATTGGAGCAGGCCCAAGTGAAATGCTTTTCAGGTGTCGAGCATGCAATCGGACATCTGAACTGTTAGGTTGGGTGAAAGACGTGTTTCAGCACTGTGCCCCAGCCTGGGACCGTGATGCTCTTATTAGGGAACTTGATTTTGTCAGTCGAATTTTTCGTGGAAGTGAGGATCCACGAGGAAGAAATCTCTTCTGGAAGTGCGAGGAACTAATCCAAAAAATGAAGGAGGGCCTAGTGGAGTCAACAGCATGCAGGGAAATACTGGTGTTTTTCCAAGGTATCCTTTATGCTGCTGTTCTAGTAAAATAACAAATAGCAATTTAATCACATGACCATGTACTCTGCAGTGATAATGTGGAGTAATTACTCCAATAAGCTTACTGCTCACCTCTCTCTGGATGCACAACAACATTGCATATACATACAGTTGCTTAGTTAGATATCAATACTATTTTGCATTTCAAGTGCGACTAACTGCAAGAGTGAAATGATTTCGGCTTGCAAGTTTTAGGAAACATGGTCTGTCTATAATATAGGAGAACTCTCCTTGTTTTTAGCTATTGCTGTGGAGAGTAGCTTGGTAGGTACTATTACTTTTATGTTTGCAAAGCAATAAAAACTCATCCGCGAACTTATTGCATGGATTTGCAACTTGATGCAGCCTGTAAGAATGGAACGTTTGAGGCCTTCTACTGATCTTGTCTGTCTCCTTATGGTGTAGACACTTACGAACCTGTTTAAACCTGAGCGCTCTTGACAATTAAGCTGTGTATTTCTCTCTAGTAATGATGATCTTGATTGTACGACTTCTTAATGAAGGGCTTGAGGGGGACTCTCCAAGGAATCTGGAAAACGGGGAAGGTGGACGATTGATAGCTCCACATGAAGCATGTGGCCGTATTGCTGAGGTGGTGCAGGAAGCCATAAGAAAGATGGAAATGGTAGCTGAAGAGAAGATGAGGATGTTTAAGAAAGCTCGCAATGCTCTTGACACTTGTGACCGGGAGCTCGAGGACAAGGCCAGAGAAGTGACGGAACTGAAATTGGAGCGGTCAAAGAAGAAACTCCAGATTGAGGAGCTGGAGAAGATTGTTAGACTGAAACAGGCAGAGGCGGATATGTTCCAGCTTAAGGCTAATGAGGCAAAACGGGAGGCGGACACGATGAAGAGGATTGCTCTCGCAAAGTCAGAGAAGTCCGAGGAAGAGTACGCTAGTCGATATCTCAAACTTCGTCTCAGTGAGGCCGAGGCTGAGAAGCAGTATCTGTTTGAGAAGATTAAGCTCCAGGAGAGCTCACGAACATCGCAAAGCAGTGGTGGGGGTGACTCGTCGCAGATGATGTATTCCAAAATCCAGGACCTTCTGCAGATGTACAATTCTTCTTCCAAGACTGAGAACCAGTCCAACGGGCACAATCCTTTCAGATCAAGTTCATGAGAAGTGGTTGTGAAGTGCTTGTGTTGTATGTCGTGAATGTGCTTTTGTCATATAATAGTCGGGACCTATATTTTGTATTGTAGAGCAGATTTGAATGCTACCTGGTTTCATGTGATTGTGTTAGCTAAGCCATGCCGGAGAGAGGCAAGAGCAATTGTGCGTGGTCACTTGGTACTATTGGCGACCTGTATCGTGCTCTGCTCGGTTCAGTTAATACTCGGCAGGGACACATGGCCTGTATATTCATGATCTTGTGAGGCTCTATTTGGACTAATAGACATAATTACTTTTTTACCACAAGCCGTCCGTCACTATTTGCATCATCATCCTTTGGTCGCGGATGCTCATGTCATTGGATCCAATATCATTGCTTTGCTAAATGCTAGTTGTGCCGTGTTTCATGAATGTCCCTGGTGCCACTTATGAAATTGGCTGGCATTGGAAGGATTAGTGCAGTGAATAGTTTGATTTGGGACTTGGACATTGCAATCAATCGTGTCTTAGTCAAGGAATTCTGCGGGCTGGTTGAAGCGAGAACACCAATTGTTTCTGTACCAGTCTATCGACCCATAAATATGGCATCTGAGAGGAAGCATATTCATCTGCATTGGTTAGGACTTGACCGGTTAGCATTATCTTCTGGACCGGTTCAGATTCTTGAAAATTTCTTCGTGTGAGTTCTGTTTGTATCTATCTATTCATGCTTGGAGTGCGGAGGAGGAACAATTTATGTCAATACAAAGGCATTGTTCCCATCTTAGGTATCTTCACCAATTCCATAAAAAACCTGTCTGCAATCATTCAACGCGTGGTAGGCAATGTGGGTGAAATTGACCATTTTGATGGTAGGGCAGTGTAGAATGTTGATACTGGTTCTGTACAAGTCACATAAGTTGAAAAGGAATCAGTGTACCTATCTTTCTTGATGATAGTGGCCCCTTTTGATTGTGGACCTATGAAACTCATGTCTAAAATGCAGCCATGTTCATGGGCCCCAGAGAGAGAGAGAGAGAGAGAGAGAGAGTTGGAATCACATAATGGAGAGAGAGAGACCTGAAATGTGGGTTGTAACAGTGATTTGACTTTATCACATCATTTTGTGTACCAATCTTTTAGACCTGGCTCAGTATACCTGATGTTAACATGTCGAAAAAGTAAGTGGTGCCAAAAAGCCCAGGAGGCCAAAACCACAACAATTGTGAACCGTTTGATAGTCTGACATGCACAAAACTCCCTCATTGATCCTACAGGCTTCAACTAAGTAATATAAGCATTGAGGGAAAATACATTTATGGGAACAACAAACGTTTTTCTCCTGTGAAACTGCCAGGCTAAAGCTTGTTTCTGTCCTTAAAAAGAAGACGACAGTGTAAATAGGGGAAATTGGAATGAGTCCAAGAACAAAGATGTGGAAATCATCAAAAGAACATGGTGGAAGATGGTGTGATCCGGGTCTACGCTAGCAATGTTGGAGTAGCTGTCAAAAAGAGTCTTGTCAATGTCACCAAGGCAAATACAGCTAAACAAGAAAATGGGTCTCAAGTGAAAAGAAAATAAGAAACGTCTGTTGAACAGCTAAGCTTTAATGACCTCTCACCCTTTGTTTTTGTTGTGTTTTGAATCGTGCCTTGTCTCTACATGTTGACTGGGTTGTCTCCTCCTGCTTGGTGCGATCTCCCTCTTGATTTCCACGCGATTTCCTTTTGGGAAAGCCTAGCCAAGGACCGTGGTTTTTGAGGATGATCTTTGTTTGTTAAGATTATATGTAACAGGTATGTGGATCTTGCAAATCACCCACATGAACAATGTGATTTGTTTGCAAGGATTGTACATTCTCAACGTGGACTGTCCAGAATCGATTCCGGTTCTTGATTGGCATCTCGAGTTTCGTCGTTCTTCATGGCATAACTTGCTCAATGACCGGATGAATCCGTGTGCTGTCTCATTACACGTTTGAATCGTCACAGTGAGTACCTTCATGATTGTCGTAGGCTCTGTAGCTTGATCAAATGGAGGTCAGGTAACCTTTATTATTCAAACATGTGGTAGCTATACAGATGAGTTAACCGAATATACAGCTGATGACACTTGAACCCCCACCATTCGTTCATCTCTTTGTTGTTTGGAGTTTTAATTTGCATGTGAGAGTCAAATTCATAAATCAAAGTACTTTTGACACGTCTTGTTCGGCTAGAATTTCAGTGATGTAGGAGTAACTTGGCTCACTCGTCTCGAGCGCCTAGTTCCTTGCAAATGGTCATTAGAGCTCAAACTAAACGTTCGGAACGAACACAGGACTTCCACATAAATTTTCTAGAGATTTATTTAATCATTTTCACTCTTTCGCCCCGGCGCAAAAAAGAAAGTAGCTAGGTAGTTGAAGCGAGTTCGAGGACCAGGCGGATGCAGCAGAAAGATCCATCGTTGGACAACATGGGATCAACTAGTAGGTGCTCGTTTGGATTTGGTGGATACTTGTCAAATCTTACAATCTCAATCAGATTAGTGAGCTGAGTAGACAGATCATGAGTGGGATGAGTACAGCTAGGCCATGCATGTGTTGTCTGGTGCCCTATTCCTGGTCCATCTTCATCATTCCTAAGTCAGACCAAGCTGGAGGAAGCTATGACAAAACAAAAGGCAGAGAGTATGGTCCAAGAACTTTGGTGATGCAAATTACAAGGATTCAATACCTGAATTTACAATTGGTAAATTGAGGAAAAACAATTCATAAGGTTAACAAGCTCAATTGATGGCATCAAGTATATATGATCACATCCCAGCTTTTATCAAGCATATAAGATTCAAATGAAACAGAAATGGGTTCCCCCCATTCGGGAGACTAAAAACAAATGAAGCAAAAAATAAATAATAAATAATAATAAATAAATTCAAAATGCTTGAGAAAAATCATGTATTATTGTCTGCGGCACTACTAGTCATCTAATGTAATCATTTTACTACTCAGGGTCCCACAATGTGCATGATGATCCTATCAATCAGCTGATTTCCACAAGATCAGCATCTACTTTGACTTCTTTCTCCTAATAAATCACAAATAACATGATAAACAACATTATTAAAAGAAGAAAAAAAAAGGATTGAACGGAGGGGAACAAAATCCTAGAATGTCCCTTTGCTTGGCACCACCCCCGAAAGAAGAATCCTCACCCCCCCTCCTACACGAGCTCTGGAGAAGAGACATGGCAAAGGCAAAGCTGATATGATATGGTCTACATAATATAAAAAAACATAACAAAGAATCCTTATTTTACTCATCCAAAAGAAAAAGCAATGGCTGCAAGATTTCACTGTGTGTAGTGCTTCCATGACATGCTCTGAAGTAATGGGAATTGGAGGCTCGTGTACTTTGTCCTGATATCATTGTTAATCTGAAGAGATTAGGCAGAATCTTTTTCACTTCAAACCCACCAACACGGGCCATTATCACATGCCACGCATTATCTTAAAGCACGCTCCTTTTTTTGCACCAGTTCAAAACATTCTCTCCCTACCTGGAAAAAGCAATAGAAATTGTTGCTTAGTTCACTTGCCAGAATCGAATTCTACTGATCGTTGCATCTCGTGGATAGAAAAGACAAAGTGGGTTCGTGTCTGTCAAACTCGCACAGCTTCTTCTGTAGTTTGAAAAGGAAGGAGAGAGAGACAGAGAGAGAGACAGAGAGGCGCACTACCAGCAAGTGCGAGTCTGATTTCAGAAACAGCACGTTCGTTACAAGTCAACAAGTCCAGCCAAAGAGAGGGTTTTTAATCTGCCCATTTGCCATTAAAGCCTGGAAAAGAGCAACACTGCCGTCCTCAGTTTCACCCAATTCAATCGATACCTAAAAGACAGAAAACAAAAGATGGGTCGATAAAGTGGAACTTGTAGTCTCTCCATGCACATGGTTTTGATCTGCTCTAAGTGTGTATGCTTTTTCTGTGTATTTTGCTTCGTCGAAACTCGTGAGTACGTTCCGTCACTGTTAGGAGTTGATTAAGATTTATACGGATCCACGAAATATCTCAACCGACCTTATAAGTTGAATAATATATGAATCGAAACCTAATTGAGCCGTCTCATAGGAGAATTATTTGCGCTTGTGGTATGGAATCAAACATGTTTCCAGCACCAATAGGTGCGTCAATTGTTAATCACTAATTCAACCTCGTGGGATTCGATGGCTAAATTGGAAAACAGGACAAAAGGCTTTGTTTTGTGCACTGCTGAATTTCAAAAACTAGAAACAATTAATTCCCACTTAAATATACCGCATCGAGTCGTTAGTTCTTGATTGCTAAGCCATCACTCCAAAAAAGAGCCTCTGTTGAAAACAAGATTCATATTTCACTTTTCATTCTATTCGCCATCACGCCACACCAAATTAGAAATATGAAGCAGCGAAAAGAATGATTCGGTCGCTTGATTTTAGTATCATAAGCCTACAACTTATTTCTTCTGAGATCGTTCAAATTATAATACTTAAGAAACAATCTCACAATATCAACCAACAAAACAAACAAATCACTTGATATTTTCAATTTCTTTTAATCTAAACTCTTTTACTCGATCAATTCTCGTGTACAAAGGCGAAATTTATCCGGTTCGTGTCGATCGGGCCTCTCCCGATACCGGGTGCGGCTCCGGACTGATTAACCTAAACAACATGTTAAACACCTCATCAAACTTCGCATCACTATCATGTGATTCCTAAAGATTGCCTCAACATAATCTTGTGTCCCCTCCATCCTAATCTTTCCTCCTCTCTCTCTCTCTCTCTCTCTCTATAGCTGTACCTCACAATCAATGTAGAATAAAAAGGAGTGTCTAAAAACGACAACAGTTGAACTATCGTGGGACCCCAACAAAGATCCTTCTTCCGTCTTCTTCTAATTTTTTTTGCTCTTTTTTTTTTTTTCTCTTTTTAAGCGTGTGGTCACTCCAAAAGTACAACTTGCATATTGCTTTTCCGACGTTGCTCCTCACTTCATATGATCTAGAGATGATTGATTTGTACCATTAGAATTTATTTAAAGATCGAAATGAGATATTTTGTTTTCGCCTTAGCGTATACCAAAAGATAATTTCATGATAAAGGAATACGAGAGTCAGTATTCGGCGAGAGTATGATGCAGCATTTAATATTTCCGGATGTTTGATAGCCGGGCGAAATTCAAGAACTCTCGCCAGTTTTGAAATTTTTGGATAGTTTAACCGTATGTCCGTACGTATACTAGATTCACTCAACAATCCTTGAGAACGTAGAGGCGAAGTTATTTAATTAATGACGCAG